GTCATATAGCTGGAATATTGCTGAGTGTGGTGTTAAACAACAAACAAACAAACAAACAAAATCGGTGCCCCTGTTCCCCATAGAAATGTGTCTCACCTTGAAAGCTTTTGGCATTGGCAAACAATCTAGATATTTGGCTGTCCATCTCCTTTTCGTATTCCAGGAGAAAGCCTGTTCACTTCCAGCTTTTTCCTTGCTATTACAAGCTGTGAACAGACATCATTCTTTACGGGAAACGGGGAAAAACAGCGTGGGAAGCAGGGAATGCGTATGATGAAGTAACTGAGGTTTTTAATCTTATTAGTGATGTATCAGCCAGGATGTGAAGGACATGGTGCCAGTGTGCCAGCATTTTGTGGTCTTATGTATGATTGGGCCAGTACATGTACGACAGTTGATGAGGCACGCAAAGAATTCTACACTAAGAAGGGTAGAACAAATGATCCCATTCCTCCTACATCAGCTTCTTTCTACCAACATATCAAAAGAGCTGCATTTCAAACAGACCACTGTGGTGGATGAATTCTGGAGGCCGAAACAGAGAGGATGAGAGAGGATGGATAATATTAGTAGCACATGGATATGAACCTTTGTGGACTACGCTACCACAAGCTTCTAAAACATGTCAATAGCTTCTTAGATTTAGTTGAAGGTTTGAGTGCAGATCAAGGTGTTACTGTTGTGTCACATTTAGTTGTTACATCACTTTGCCAACCAAACGATTCGCCATGAATATCATGTCAATTTTAATCGCCTACGGAAAGGCATATTGTTTACATTTTTTCACACTTTAGATCACCTAAATCAAGATAATTTTTCTATTATGATGAAGTTATTTGCTTTTTTCGGATAAAGTGTTGGGTAAATACATTCTAAACTGTTCATGATATATTTGGGCTGTGGGTCATGTTCATGCGAGATACTAGAATTCGATTCCTCTATGGTGGCCAATACTGTGCCAATTTTCATGCTTTTATCGCGAAGTTCATAATTGACACGATATCTGTCATGAAACGACTACACTAATGGATTTACATATGTAATATATGAGGCGATCTCACTGGTCTCCTATAGTTCTACCACAGGTGGGTAAATAAGTGGAAGGGAATTGGATTTTGATGGTTATTGAACGCGTTATCAGATCATAGTGGTGTACAAAATTGAAAAGGTTTTGACGAACTTGAACTTTGTTCTTTTCTGAGAATACACAATGTTATGCAAATCACTTGAATTTTTGAGAATCCACATGGTATCAATTCCACTTGTCTCAAATACGTTCTGTAAATATAAAGAAAGTTGTATTGAGGATTATGGTTAATCCTTGAGACACGGATTTGGTGGTACATGTGCTGGACCCAGCAATATACATATGTATTTCCCTTTGTATGGATTTTTGTGGAGCTTTGGATTCCAGCAGGAAAGAAGAATGGACATGTCTTCAGGTTTTAGAGTCAAGTTATTAGTTGATGCTACTAATGCTTGCTTTTGGCAGATTTCTTCCTTAGTTAACAAAATGCAAAATTGGTTTGTTTATGTCAACAATATCACGCACTATGAAATACATATAACAGGTTCCATGTTGCCCATTGCCTGGCATATGCTTCTACAGCATCCAAACTGATTTTAAGTTGTCATCCCTACTTAAAGGGGGCTGTTCACGATGTTTGGGACATATTTGAATAACTGACGAAGGTTGTTATTGTCAACATTAGAGAAGTCATTATAATTATGTGACCTATAGGTCGGTAGCAGTATAAGGTGAGGTGAGGTAAAGTGAAATGGTGTTTAATGTCGCGTCCAAGATTATTGCACTTATATAGCGACGTGCACGCACGTGTACGTGTGTGGCTGCTTGTACTAGTCCGGAAGGATGCCGATTTTATAGTGCTAGCACACTGAGATACCATGCCGCAGTTTAACATGAATACCCCTTCCAGACACAGTACACTGACTCCGAGTCCACCAGTCCTTGTTTTAGCCCCTTAATGCCGAGCGCCAGACAGGGTAACAACAAGTACCATCTTTTAACGTCTTTTGGTATGACACGACCGGAGATTGAGTCCCGGACCTTCCGCTCACCGGGCGGACTCTCTACCACTAGACCACGGAGGCGGTCGTTTGCAGTATGAAGATTCTTGGCAGTCACAAAAAGTTGAATTTACATCATGAGCTGCGAAGTCCAAGTTCTAGCACACGTTCCTATAATTGAACAACATGGAAGAACTGGTGTCGGTAATGGTTATTGACATTTGAAATATTGTGGGACATTTTTGGAAAATGAATTTTGTCTGAGAATGTTACTTGAATTTAAGGCACTAATTCCATTGTTTGGAAATTTCAAATTCAAGAACATGTGGTCTTTGTTAAATTTAGCGGAATTTGTTTCTGCTTCCCAACGTTTCAACGTAATATCAAGACCTATACCCTCTTGACGATACTGTTTGTAGACCCATCCATCAGGAAAGGTTGAATAGTTTCGTTCTTACCTTGTTTAGTTCTTATTGTTCATGAAACAGAGGTAACACAACTTCCAAATGAATGGTATCATTTGGCCTTCGTCCTTTCTTGTCACTATGCCTACGTAGACGTCTTTAGGGTGCTAGAAACCGATATTGACGTTATGAGTTCGTTGGTTAGAAAGACTCCCAAAGTCTTTATTTTGTCATTATATCAATATGGCATTGCAGTACACAACAGTCGAATCCAATGTTTTTCTCCGGACATACTTATAAAAAACGATATATGACATTTTTAGTCTGACATGATAGGTCTTCAAAAGGTTTTGTGCGGTCTGTTTTAGCTGTAAAGTTATCTTTAAATTCAGGATCCGTTATGAAAATAGGACAATGTTTGAAACGTTTTGTATCACTTGATGAAATACTGCACAGAGATGGGTTCAAAAACAATTATCTGCTGTTCATTCATTGATGCATGATCTGAAAGTAAGAAGCTACCAGAAGCCCTCATCAATCTGCTCAGACATATTTACCACACATTATGTGTTCAGAAAGTGACAGTTGGACATGTTTGCATATATCTCTTTGAAAAATCAAATTGTTAATATTTCAAACTGATCTCTTTATGTGTGCTAGGATTAAAGTGCACATGTGTACATATGTATATCTGAAGTTTATTTCAACACACATGTTCCTAAAATAGATAAAATGTTTTTTCAGAATGCTCAGCCATTGCATACTGTAAGAGTCAACGCTGCGTGACGTGTGACAGCTGCTTTGTGTCAAATGACGACTACAACTACAGGATCAACGACAACAAGAGAGAATGCTACCGTTAGTATCATTTGTACTGTGGCGTGTTCCATACATAGTATTTTCGTGTATATAACGCCCATGTGACTCTTAGACGCCAGTGCATAGAAAATTATGCCAATCTTCACACGTGATGTAAGTATAACCTACCGAGCTACTAAAAAACCCAATTTTCGCCAGATTACATCCCGTTTTTACTAATAGAACACAATCGTGCAATGGGCTCTGTTTTTAGAAGAGCTTTATTACGCTTTTATTTAAGTTATTTAAATATAAGTTCCAAGCTCTATCATGCCAAAAACATATACCCCTCTTATATCAGTGATCTAAGATTGAAACAATGGATAGTATTGAATCTACAGAACCGAGAGGCGTTTGTCTTAAATACACAATATGTTAGTCAATATTGTATTCACTGGAAACTAAAGTGTTCTTTACAAATATTTCATAAAGCTACTTCAAACATTTAGGCCGTCATGGACAATGATAAATACCACAGTTTTGGGACTAAGCCCGAATACAGCCCCAGGCCTCTCCAAGCTAACAAACCTGATCTTGTCCTACTCCATAAATCCCGAATACAGCCCCAGGCCTCTCCAAGCTAACAAACCTGATCTTGTCCTACTCCATAAATCCCGAATACAGCCCCAGGCCTCTCCAAGCTGACAAACCTGATCTTGTCCTACTCGATAAAGCCCGAATACAGCCCCAGGCCTATCCAAGCTGACAAACCTGATCTTGTCCTACTCCATAAAGCCCGAATACAGCCCCAGGCCTCTCCAAGCTGACAAACCTGATCTTGTCCTACTCGATAAAGCCCGAATACAGCCCCAGGCCTCTCCAAGCTAACAAACCTGATCTTGTCCTACTCGATAAAGCCCGAATACAGCCCCAGGCCTATCCAAGCTAACAAACCTGATCTTGTCCTACTCCATAAAGCCCGAATACAGCCCCAGGCCTATCCAAGCTAACAAACCTGATCTTGTCCTACTCGATAAAGCCCGAATACAGCCCCAGGCCTATCCAAGCTAACAAACCTGATCTTGTCCTACTCGATAAAGCCCGAATACAGCCCCAGGCCTATCCAAGCTAACAAATCTGATCTTGTCCTACTCGATAAAGCCCGAATACAGCCCCCAGGCCTATCCAAGCTGACAAACCTGATCTTGTCCTACTCGATAAAGCCCGAATACAGCCCCAGGCCTATCCAAGCTGACAAACCTGATCTTGTCCTACTCGATAAATCCAATGAAATATCATCTGGATCGCTGAAGTTTCTGTTCCTTTTGTCACTAATGTGATTGACAAGATTCAGGAATCTTTTGGCAAATATGCGGACCTCGCTTTCGAAATGTCACACTTGCAAGTCCAACTCCCCATTGTTCTCGGTGCCTTAGGTTTGGTACCTCCCAATACCTGATATTGAGAGAGTACCCGGGTTTGCTGCCAGGAATACAGCCTGTCTGACAATCTGGGTAATGCAGAAGGCTGCAAATAATCTGTAAATAACAACAACAATAGTTATTATAATAATCCCCAAATGCTTGCTTTACCAATATTAAGCTGAGACGCTTTTATGTACATGTTTTATGAGCAGTTAATCTTAATCTCACAAAATAAATTTGTTTGAAAGATGTCAGAAGAAATGAAAAAGTACTACATTGTAAACCTTAGGAGGTGAGCTAAAAGCTGTTTGCATGTTCAGCATGTCCTTTTGTACTTCAGGGTGTCCTCGCATAAAGCACTGCGATGTGGAGGAATGTCCGTACACTGATGGCCAGACATGTTCCAGATGTACAGGTGTTGTACAGGAAGCTCCAGGTTTACGGGCATACATCGCCTCGAGTGATTCTCGAGCTTGTCTTCGTAAGTCCTGTCAAATAAATTAAGAAACAATAAAACGGTAGAATTATGATTGTACTGGACATTAGAACAGTAAACAATTTTTTTCATTGGAACAGAGACGTGTTCCTGGAGGTTAAACAGCACATGGTGTTATCCAGGAACCTGTGAAGCCGAGCTGGCAGACAACTGCAAGTGCTCCACTGGATTCGGTGGTCTCAACTGCCAGACAGGTGTGTTGTCTGCTTAATAGCAACATATTTTAGGGTTAGATTTGTGATTTTATTATTGCAGTATTGCTATATTTTCTGTTACAAATATACACCCTGAAATTAAGTAAGCACCCCTTGACAAAATACAGAACATTGATAAACAAGTATGATTACACTAATTCATAGTCTCAGGAAAGTCATGACAATAACGGACTGTGTCTCTCAAACACAAAGACTTGTGAGGGTGAGGCATATCCTCGAGTTTCAGAAAAAACACTTTGATATTGATGCAAGTAAGGGTATATAATGTGGCAAGTAGCCAATTGCTCAGTCGGCTTTTGTTATCATGGCATGCATCATGCTGTCTGAGGCACTCCGTTGGCAAATTATTGGCATGCATGACACATGTATGTCATGCAGGGCCATGAGTCCAACAGACATGTGAAGTAAAGGACCGTCAAGGAGCAGGGTCACCCTTGACTACAACAGAATAGGAAGACAGGGCTCAAACAGGGAACAGCCCTTTGCTACGGGTAAAGCTCTAAAAGAACAATGGCTTGCCAACAGGCATCTTCTACCAGAACTGTCCGAAACCTGCTAAAATCATTTGGGTTGAAGTCACAAGGGTCATCATTCTTCCCTTGTTAACTACTCATTATCAAAGAATTCGATTGGCTTGTGGTTTTGCTCGACGTCATTAGATTCTGATGACATGTCGTAGATGGGCGAATGCGGGATTGGAGAGACAGAAACACTGCGTACACCCCCAGGTATCTTTGTATCAAGAGTTCTGTATGGTGTAGGCTCCGTCATGGTGTGGGGAGTTATTTCTAATGACTGTAAACTGGACATGGTAGAAGTGTGTGTTTGGGACATTCTTGTACGTCGGCCGCAGGCAATGGATCCACCAGTACAGAATCTGGCAGCTTTAAAGTCTGCATTGTATCGGGAGTGGCAGCAGTAACCTCTTGGTCGTATCAGAAGACTCACTGGAGGAATGAGGAGCAGGGTAGAATCTATCATCCAGGGCATATATTCTCGCTATTGATTTTCAGGATCGTGGTTATCTTTGTAAGGTAAAATGGGACGTTTTTTGGCAACAATGATCGTTTATACCTGACCATGGTACTTCCAAGATACATAGTTTTCGTGATTATCAATTTTGCTAGTTTTTGTGTTATAAGTGCAATTGTAATATTCAACATTTGCATCATTCTCTGCATTTTCAGTAGTCAAGAGTTTCGTCTTACACAATTCATTTAATTCTCAACCATAGCTCACTTGACGCGAATGATAACATGTTGTACAGGTATGATTGCAAACCTAGAAGTGCTTAATTAGTATCTAGGTGTATATATTGATACTGGATGGTTGTGTAGCAATGGTATATTTTCAATGTAACTTCAACATTTGGCAAAACCATATAACATTATGCACATTTCGCATTCCACATACAGTGAAAGGCTAAACGGGCGACTTCACATGATCATTTGTGTTTCAGTTGAGGAGCGGCCTGTGTTGCTGTGGAACCGCCTGTCAGTGTCAGACAGTGGGTTGGAGACGGCCGAGGCACCTCTGGACCCCAACATCGTCACAACACAAGAAGCGTCATGGACGAATCTTAAAGATATAACAAAACTCACATATGACTTCAAAACCAAGTTTATTCAGTCAGGGGTTGTTCCAGAGAGACCTGGATTCATTGAAGACTATAGCGTCGGTATCGTCAAAGTTGACATTCAGTATAGCGTAGAAAGAGGTATGTGCATCATTTGTTTGATAGAAATGTGTTATATGTACATTCCATTAACCACCCCAACAGGAATATGTCCATATACTTTGAAATCCTACTCGGAATTAATTTCAGATGGTTCTAGTATCATCGACCTGCTCTATCCCTGTGATGGGCAGTCAGAGACTGATCCACACCAGAGTGTGGTGAGATGTACCATGGAGATCAGTGACAGAAGTGCATTCCCAAAAGTACTGAAGACAGGAGATATGTGAGAAGCAATGTTCATTACCCACACTTTTAGTATTTAATGTACTTGATGGAATACTTTATTTTGAAAAATTTCAGCAACACATGTGTCTGTTTCAAGCTATGATGACACATTGCTTTCAAATTGACTAAATGTATCAAATTTGCTTTTAATCAATTGTGACCTTTGAGATATTAAGCACTGATAAACTCATCTGACTATATTAATTTATTGATTCAGGATGACATTCAAGTTTACATCCACGAATGGTGGTTATGTAAAAGTTCGCAACATAGAAACGAATGAGCTGAGAACCGAGTTCTACCAAAGCAACAGCCAGGACGTCAGCGTCAGCATAGGATATGATTTGGTTAAACCCTACCATTGCAGTGAAGTTGAGGGCTGCAGTGACAGTTTACTAACAGTGCCTAAAACAACATTTGAGGTAAAAATAGTGCTAGACTCTAGTCATATCAGTAACAAAAAATGTTATAATTGCCACAACAAAACGCCATCACCGACAAATTTTACAAATTATCTGTAGGTAATTTATCTTGTTGTCTGCCATGTTGTTACTACATTCTGATTGACTAGTTGACTGATCAATAACATTGTGATTGTCTAGTTGACTGATCAATGACATTGTGATTGTCTAGTTGACTGATCAATAACATTGTGATTGTCTAGTTGACTGATCATTAACATTGTGATTGTCTAGTTTACTGATCAATAACATTGTGATTGTCTAGTTGACTGATCAATAACATTGTGCGTGTGATGCTACATTGTGATTGTCTAGTTGACTGATCAATAACATTGTGATTGTCTAGTTGACTGATCAATAACATTGTGATTGTCTAGTTGACTGATCAATAACATTGTGCGTGTGATGCTACATTGTGATTGTCTAGTTGACTGATCAATAACATTGTGATTGTCTAGTTGACTGATCAATAACATTGTGCGTGTGATGCTACATTGTGATGGTCTAGTTGACTGATCAATAACATTGTGATTGTCTAGTTGACTGATCAACAACATTGTGATTGTCTAGTTGACTGATCAATAACATTGTGCGTGTGATGCTACATTGTGATTGTCTAGTTGACTGATCAACAACATTGTGATTGTCTAGTTGACTGATCAATAACATTGTGCGTGTGATGCTACATTGTGATTGTCTAGTTGACTGATCAATAACATTGTGCGTGTGATGCTACATTGTGATTGTCTAGTTGACTGATCAATAACATTGTGCGTGTGATGCTACATTGTGATTGTCTAGTTGACTGATCAATAACATTGTGCGTGTGATGCTACATTGTGATTGTCTAGTTGACTGATCAATAACATTGTGCGTGTGATGCTACATTGTGATTGTCTAGTTGACTGATCAATAACATTGTGCGTGTGATGCTACATTGTGATTGTCTAGTTGACTGATCAATAACATTGTGATTGACTAGTTGACTGATCAATAACATTGTGATTGTCTAGTTGACTGATCAATAACATTGTGATTGTCTAGTTGACTGATCAATAACATTGTGATTGTCTAGTTGACTGATCAATAACATTGTGCGTGTGATGCTACATTGTGATTGTCTAGTTGACTGATCAATAACATTGTGATTGTCTAGTTGACTGATCAACAACATTGTGATTGTCTAGTTGACTGATCAATAACATTGTGCGTGTGATGCTACATTGTGATTGTCTAGTTGACTGATCAACAACATTGTGATTGTCTAGTTGACTGATCAATAACATTGTGCGTGTGATGCTACATTGTGATTGTCTAGTTGACTGATCAATAACATTGTGCGTGTGATGCTACATTGTGATTGTCTAGTTGACTGATCAATAACATTGTGCGTGTGATGCTACATTGTGATTGTCTAGTTGACTGATCAACAACATTGTGATTGTCTAGTTGACTGATCAATAACATTGTGCGTGTGATGCTACATTGTGATTGTCTAGTTGACTGATCAATAACATTGTGCGTGTGATGCTACATTGTGATTGTCTAGTTGACTGATCAATAACATTGTGCGTGTGATGCTACATTGTGATTGTCTAGTTGACTGATCAATAACATTGTGCGTGTGATGCTACGTTGTGATTGTCTAGTTGACTGATCAATAACATTGTGCGTGTGATGCTACATTGTGATTGTCTAGTTGACTGATCAATAACATTGTGATTGACTAGTTGACTGATCAATAACATTGTGATTGTCTAGTTGACTGATCAATAACATTGTGATTGTCTAGTTGACTGATCAATAACATTGTGATTGTCTAGTTGACTGATCAATAACATTGTGCATGTGATGCTACATTGTGATTGTCTAGTTGACTGATCAATAACATTGTGCGTGTGATGCTACATTGTGATTGTCTAGTTGACTGATCAATAACATTGTGCGTGTGATGCTACATTGTGATTGTCTAGTTGACTGATCAATAACATTGTGCGTGTGATGCTACATTGTGATTGTCTAGTTGACTGATCAATAACATTGTGCGTGTGATGCTACATTGTGATTGTCTAGTTGACTGATCAATAACATTGTGCGTGTGATATTAATGCACAAATATTCCATAATGACTTGCAATGTTTAGAAACATGTACATAGTTATTTTGATGAATAAATTTAAGAATGACATCATATCACCAGGTCTTGCTCACAACGTATATTCCTTATGAGGGATATTTGCCATTCTAGACACACTCACGTGATAACCTCTTTGTAGAATGTGAAATTCGATAATGAATAATTATAAACTAGTGATGATACCAGATGTTTGCAGGAGGATGAACGTATTCTGACCCATCGGTATCAGCCATCAAACATATAGTGCAAGTCAATATAGGGAAATGTATCAAATTTGGAAATGTTCCTATTTGTGCACCATTACACTTTACTAAGGTCTTGACTCGCTACAAATGTGTGCAGTATTGTTGATGCGGTGTTAATCAATACACCGCATCTTTTGATTGGTCTTTGGAATCCTTGTAGAAAGAGCATGATCGATTGTACTTCAAAAGTTGTGAAATGTAGATTGGTGGGACATTTGATTATTGGAAAGTTGAATATAAAACGTCAAAGCTAGAGAAATAACCGTTGTCTAAGGGTACAGATTAAATTGAGCATAAAATGCAAAAGTGCAGTTAAAATGTGAATAAAGTATGAATGTGTTTGCAAAAAGGGTAACTAAAATCGACAAAACCGACACCGATCACAAACGCATGCAAAGGCAAATCAATTGTTCATCTAAAAAAAGCACGGAAACAGATGGTACAAGTCAAAATAGGGAATTGCATCATTCTTTTACACTGATGCGTCAAATTTGGAAATATCTTCCACATATCTACCATGAAACCTTTTTGAAAGCTTTACTGAGGCCTTGAATATTGTGAACTTGATAAAAAACACCTTTTGGGCAAGAGTTGTATGACGCTCTTTGAATTCTTGGTAGAAAGAGCATGCTCGATTGTACCTGAAAAAGTGTAAAATATAGACCCCAAGGGCTGAAACTGCAGGAATATGGCTTGACATATAGGGATAGTTGACTATGTGAAAGCTGCAGTGATCCCTCTAGTAATTCACTCTTGTGGATAGTGTTTTGTCACACTGAATCTTTATGTATTCATCTAAATACGAAACAGATGAAGCGGTCGCACTGGTCCCCTTTACTTCTAGTTCAAGTGGGTTAATCAGTGGAAGTGAAATGGCTATTTGGTAGCTATTAAATAATATTTGATCATCGTTATACCCGAAGCTTAATTTCTTGGCCAAATTACCTTGTTTTGATTTTGCCAATCCCAGCAGAAATTCTGATTCATATGCATGAAGAAACAGATCAACAGTTGGTGCCCATGGGAAAGCCTACTTTTTGTTTTAATGTCTTACCCCCAAAGCGCGTCCTGCCCTTCCCGAAGAACCAACAACTCACACACTTTGCATATAAAGCGTTTATTTTGTACCTAAAGCCACGTTTAATGTTTCGTCTCAATACTATGCTGTCCCCAAAAGATACAGCACTGGCGGTAATACTAATAATATACATATTATGTGGATGGAAAGTATTTCATGTAAAACTGCTACAAAAAAACAAACTTTTTCATCACAAAATGGCTTTATTGTTTTTGATAGAGTTACTATCCATTCATTCGTTTTCCTTGGAAACTGAGAAGCAATTTTCACTTCCAAATTCTGGGTTTCTTGTGGATGTTTACGGCACATGTCATGGTCACAAATGATTCAGCAAGCGAAATGAATTCTGAAAATTGTCATGCACCGACTGAAAAATAATGCGTGGAGTGACGCTGTTTGTAGACTTGAAACTGGTGAATTACAATCTCTGTCAAGCCATTTCAACAGCACCCAGAGAAGAATTATTTCCCTACTTTGGTCACGATATCGGCAATATTGTACCGCAAAAGAAACAGTTTTCAAACATTAATGCAACGTACACAGCAGCACATATTCTCAAAATCATAAAACAGTCTCCACTTGAAAGCAGTGTATACTGCACGGATCTGACTATGTCTTTTATGAGCTGCCGGAATCAACATTGTGTTATTTTCAGTTGCTGCACTGGTAACGTTTACATCATCAGTTGTTTTCCGAACGTTTCTCATAGCATTTATTTCAGTGACGAATCTCGTTTCATTCTTGTTCAAAATGCAAGAATGGCGGATCTGTGTGTATTTGCGACGGAATGACTGTTACCATGGATGATGTGAGCAAGAAGTCGACATATTCGGTGGGGAATGTGTTCTTCTGTTGGGAGCCATATTTCGGCGAATATACCAAATCTTGAACACATCCACGGCAACCTCACATGTATGTGTTATCACAATGGATAGCTTACGTATTGCCCCAACTTTGCAAGCACCGGACGCTATTTTTAAACATGACGATGCTCACACTGTGATGAACTGATTTTATTGACTTAAAGACTGCAGTGCTCTAGACATAGTGACATAACCGGCACATGCAAAACGTCTCTCATAACGTTTGATGAACTCTTTGTAATCTTCCAAACACACACACACAAACACACACAGACATGTAAAAGGCCTCATAGAAAACCCCCCAGCAACATTGACAGATAGAACAGAATGAATCTGTGGAAAACCACAGATACTTTTCTTCTTTTTCGGTAGTATACAACTTCGACTTGCCGAAGAGTTATAATAAATGTACATATACTGTGTCATTATCTGTGTTCTGTGTACCAGCACAAACTAGCACTTCCAATTAGCGAATCAGCAATGGGTTGCAGTTGCAGCACAAGAACTCTAAATGCAATCAAGACAGCGGCATCTAAATCACAGTAAAAGACACCCGAGACAATCCATCTCTTCCGTATATTATTTGACAACTGACTTTGACTTGTGTCATGTGTGGTTACCGTATGTACATTGTCACTTACCACCTTAGGGTGGATATTAAACACTATGCAAATTCGTTATAATCATTTTAAGTTGCATTATATCCTGCAGTCACAGCAACTGACATCAGTCTCCTCACACCTACTGGTTACGAGTGCGCAACAGAATTATTAGAATAATGTATTTTCATAGTTTTGAGTATTTGAAGCTGATTTAATTTGTAATTGATGTCATATTTTTCCAAAGGAAAACTGGTAAGTATACATTATCAGTTGCAAGAGAGTAACCAGTCTAGATTATCCTGTGATATTATATGAACGGACAACTGAAACGTAGTGATGACACCAGGTGTTGGGGAAAAAGGTGCGCATGTCCTGGCCTGTCTGTCGTAGTCACCATTCACACAATTTGCATTAAATGTAAGTATTTATGGTCTGGTGCCGGTAACCAGACATGCAGTTCCTTGATATGCTCAGTTCTTGATGATGACCTCTTTCAGACTGTAGTTGAACTGGAATGGGATGGATGGAAGGATGACACAGCTAAACTACATCATTATGTCATCTCAGCTTTTGAAATGGAGTACAGTAGCCACGAAGGCGGTGTCAGAGTGAAGAACCAAGTTGCTAGTAAAGACTTCAATGACTCGTTGGTAATTATAGTTTACTTGGCATTTACTTTGAATAATGGTGTTAACTAATGCTTCCTTTCCATAAATGTCGAACAGTAGTTAAAAGACCTTCTTGGCAAAATGTTATATTTTTAATTTCCAGAATGCTGGTAACATTACTTTGCCGGGCACTGGATTGTACTCTGTAGAAATCACTGCCTATGACAAGGCAGGAAATAGTAGATCAGGCAGAAGGCTAGTCATCTCAGATGAAGAGTCCAAGGTAGAGACGACTGCCAATTCTGTCTTACGTGTGACATCAGCTGCTGAGGCATCTTCATGGGAGTGGCAGTGGACATCAGACACGGTCAATATCGACTGGGAAAATCACTACATCAATACGCTTCACCATGGTAACAAGTGGCTTGAGGCAGCAATACCAGTGTCAAACGTTGATACTGTGTATGATGACAATGACTTTTCTAGAGGAGTAAAACACGTTCCCAATGTGCAAGGTGAGAACAACTTTTCGTGGTTTAGTGTTATGGCAATGCGTTAATTGGAGTATCAATGATGTTTTTTAACTGAACATCATTACGTTTCTGTAATAGAATGTGTTGCTTTCAGCCATTGTGGATTACCGAGTAAGCTTCCAAGTAGACCATGCAGGAGGAAATACAATCCCAGAGCACCTGAATGACTCAGACTTTAGTAGCCTCTACCTGAACCAGTCTCACACAATCTCGCCAATTCTGGTCGACGGTGACTCTCTCCGCTACTGGATCCGGGCTTATGACGTAAGGGAGGAGTATCTGGAGGAGACAGTGACGGTTCACATTGACACATCGCCTCCCATCATAGAAAATCTGTGGCTGACACGAGGTGACAGACTCAATGTCAGCGTACACAAGATTGAGGAGCTGAGCACTATGACGTGAGTAACGTACTGCTGTGTGGCGTTAGGCAACTAACAAACACTTACCCTTTACGAGCACCCCTCACCCCTGATTTTCAGACGCTAATCGTTTTGTGTTTTTAAAATTGTTCTACTATCTATGACACAGTGAATAAAGAGTATCACTTTCTGCATAATGAAAGTATAAGAACATTTAGTTTTGTTTGGTGATTAATAACATATATATTTACCATCACACTACTTAAAGCATAGAGTGGGAGAGTTATGACGACCACAGCGGGCTTGAGAAAGTGTCATGGCGAGTGTTTGACAACCAGACGGGCCAGGAGATCATTCATGGGAAGGCGCATCTCCCTCCAAATGGAGCAGCAGAGGTTGGTGTCACCTACAGCATTTGCTTATGACAAAGTAGTACTGTACTACTGATTATGATCATAGAAAAAAAAGTTTTTTAATGATCAAATCGACACGCACGCACGCACGCACGCACGCACGCACGCACGCACGCACGCATACATATTACATAAGTATGTATACGTTATTTCTCCGCAGGATGAAGCATCATGCAGGACACAGTACGGTCACTCCCCCCGGGGATCAAATTGCTACTGTACCCCAGGGGTTGGATGTTACCACAGACACTTCCAGGTCAAACCGAGTGTAATTGATGACAATGCAGATCATGGTGGGATCTTCCACAGCAAAGACAGAGGTGTTCATGACTCGGATTACTTTTTGGAAGTGACAGTGATGAACCACGCCAAGCTCACTACCACGTTACACTTAAAGGTATTGTATTTGGTAGTACATATTTAACATTTTACATACACGCACATTTCTATGCATATATCCCTACCTAAAATTAACAGACCAAATAACATGCCACTTTAATAATTAATTGATGAAGACTTGGTGCAAGTGGAATCTCAGCACAAACTAAAAGTGGATATGCTCGCAATTCTACACTATTCCAAATACAGACCCAGTTTCTGGGCAACCCCTACAATGAAGCCAATTGCTGAGTAACCCAAGTGCCACGAAAACCCAGTTGCTGAAACCCAGGGAGTGGACCATCACTATAACCATCACTATCACAAACGTACTACTATGTTTCGCTTTAAGGTTTGTGTTCACGGCGATGCTACATTGCGTCAATGATGTATTGCTTGGAGGAGTAGGAAGTCAGTAACATGGATGTCATTGTAGCTTTCATCGATGTTGGATTGTTAAGTAATTACCATTGATGTCCTAGATAACCATCGACTCAAGTCCCCCTCACCCTGGTGCTGTCCACGATGGTCTGACTGGGCATTCTGAAGTAGACTACCACGGCACCACAGATCTTCATGCCCACTGGGTTGGATTCTTTGACAGAGAAAGTGGCGTAAAGTTTTATCAGTATGGATTTGCAGGCCAGTGTCTAGATGCCACAGACTTTGGCATTGATCTGTCATCCCACAATGTAAGTCGGATAGGTTAACGGTATATTCTAGCGAATAAAGATAAGAGGGTTGTCCAATAAGTCTTGCAATATCAATAGTGATATGACTGCAATTGTGTGAGAGTTCATGGTATTTGGTATTCAGTCATATGCTGATTACATATTGACAAATATCAAATATCAAGCTGTACTTCAAATAGTACACGAGACATAGTTGTCTCCATATTGGATTTTAACACGTTGGCGCAAAGGGCAGTCATGAAGTTTTGGTCAAGGACGTGTGTACAGCGAAGGAAACTCATGTTCCAGCTGTGTAGGTGTTGTGGTATGACGCCTCTCATCATGGGACTGTAACTCCATGGACCGGAGCGGTAACAGAGGAATATGAGTGATCAACGGGAGAAGGTTGTGGAACTAGCCCATGACTTTGATGTTTCAGTCGATAGCAATCAAAACACCATTCAACATCTTGTCTGAAAGATGGTAAACTTGGAACTATTACTTCCTGTTGGGGACTGGTTTGAAGGCCAGTCGAAAGGTGTGTAATAATAGTGGGATAACAACATGAAAGACGAATGGACCACATGTACAGCCAGCACATGAACTTTTCCTACTTTGAATGCACACAGGTGACCGAAACGTCCTCCACTCACGCCTCCTGGACAGCCCCTTCTGGAGGCAGGTTCTTTATCACAGTCGTAGCCTTCAACCGAGCTCTGGAGCCATCTCTTCCTGTTTGTTCTGATGGAGTAACTGTGGACCAGACATCGCCGTCACTTTCACAGATTGCTGTCCTCAACGCCCGCACTACTGAAGGTCTGGTGACGAATGGCGAGGAAGTGTGGCTCGTCACTGCAGACAGGAGGAGGAGTCAAATTGAAGACCCGGATGCAACGTGCGGGTGTGTGTTAATATCAGGTTTAGTGTTTGCAAGCTTTCTTGCCATGGATTAAGTGAACGTTTTTTCCTGATGAAACGGTTAGGGTTACTAATTGCTAGGTACTCGTATCTGATATTTAACCCAAAAATATAAATGACTATACGTGATCTGAAGTTAAGTTCATATTTTTCATATATATTTGTTTTTTTCATGTCACTTTGAAAATATTTTGGCGACGAGCTTTGCCTCATGTGCAAACCTGATGAGCAAGCATATCACATCTTTTCTTCAGGCAGATGGGCGCATTCATCACAAATGAAGATCTCAATGTATTACCTCTTCTGAAGGATGATAAAGAGGAGCGTGTATTGTTGCCACATTCAATCTGTTTGAAATGTTCAAGATTCGCTATGCAATCTACAAAAGCAATGTACATTTTGAAGGAACATCATGTGAGTGTTTCCCAGATCACCACTGACGCATATATGTAAAATGAAAATGAGTTACTGAATAGTTTGCTTGTGATTCTATACGTTTCCTAGTTACGTTTGGAAATGTTTTACATGCACAGCAAAACGTTGTATGTGTGTGAATTTCAGTTGTATGTGAATTGGACAAGCAGCGACGCTGAGAGTGGTATCTATGACTACGAACTTGGACTGATGTCCGATCCATCAAGTGAAGCTGCTCCAGACGTCCTTCCTTACACATCAACGCATCATCATCCTCACTATGAAGGCTTCCATCCACATCTCAGTGAAGGACAGCAGTTTCATATAGCAGTCAAAGCCACGAACAAAGCAGGAATCGTCACATCGCTGGTGCGTATATTGAGAATACGTCACACGTTCTTGTTAGATACCATTTTCATGAAACGTTTGGTCTTTCTGTGGTATCTGACCAATTGAATCAGATACAATAGGGAATTCACAAGTTTGTGAAAATAGTGTCTAACGAGAATGAGTGTATCATTTTGTTTGTTACCCTCGTTAAATATGTGTAAATGTGGCTGGGCATGAAAATTTATATATGCCTAAACAAGGGCATTGTTGACATTACTATGTATGTTTATGTAAGAATAAATGCTTGTTAGTACGCAGAACTGCACAAAGTACTTAAAAATGTAAGCAACTCGCTCTTTCAATCTCGGTCAGTTGGTCACTCCAATTGTTGATATATCAGATGTGCAATCAACTTAGTTTCGGTTTATTTACTATATCAGCTGTATTTGGATCTTGTCTGAACCATTTTGGAAAAGGAAATCGGAGTGCTCGCCCAAGACTTTCATCTTAACAGTACGACTCTTAAGAAATGAAATTCAACAAACTCGAGTCGCTTGCCTATGGTATGTCAATAGCAGCTTCAACCTAGGGGCAAAGTCACCATCGGAATAAGAAAAGACAACCGTGATCAACCATTATGCTACAGATCAACACAAAATGGCATTGTTCATATGTCGTATGCATCAAAGTCAGACACACTTCAAATGAGTTTTCCTCAGAAGTTTATTGGACTGTTCACTCTGAATAATTTTATGGTTCAGTCATGTTCGCCCATTCATAACCAAACACTTTCAGAGTATCCAACGTTTTACATGAAATCAAATTGGAAGTCGTCAAAGTCGTCGGGGAAATAATGCTCACATGGACCATGCAAGTCTGTAGTCGCACATGACAACTGGATATATGTCGATTATATAATGTCTTTAGAAGATCTGATCATGACTAATATAGACTGCAAAACGAACGTGATCCGTGTTTAATAAAGTGTTCATCACGAATCTCATTAATGACATTTAGTTTCTAGTGACATTTAGTATTTTGAAACACTTAATTTGTTGTCTGTAATTTGTACCCTTTTGGAGACGAAATGTTAAACTATGACATGTTCACAGATTCTTGGCCCTGTTGTCGTCCACACACAGCCGCCAGTGTTCCAGCCTCCAGTGGCTGTAAGCCTAAAGGAGCAATCAATTGTTGCGGAATGGGGTGACGGCGCCTTTACAGACACAAAGCAAGATTATCTTCATTACAGTTTTGCAATTGGTAAAATTCGCTTGATGTGTGACTCGTGTGAAATGATAAATTTTATTAAAGGTTTTCAAATCCAATTTGAAACAGCTAATAGTCCCCCTAATATTTGATGTTTATTACTGTCGGGAATAGTTACCAAATCATTTTTATCTGAGGTTCTTCCCCCGGTGGTTCCGACATCATCCCCTTCCTCCCTCTCCAGTCTGGAGGAGGCTGTTCCGTTTCAACGCCACCATCATGTACAGCTGTAGCCACCCGCGATCTTCAATGGGATCTGCATCACGGCCACACGTACTATGTGTCAGTGAAAGTGACAAACATTGTCGGACTGTGGACAGTAGGTGTATCAGAACCTTATGTCCACAACGTCAGACTACCTTCCCTTGGAGTGATTCTTGATGTCAGTCCACAGGAGGAACAGTCCCTTCTTGGCATCAGTGTGAGTTCATCAAACACTTCACTCTTCTGTTAGTTTGCTTATATTTTAGCTCATGTGATTCTTGTGGTGCAGCGATCAGTACGAGCATTTAATATGTGACTGCACACACGGCAAAATTCGGGACATTCGAGAATTTTGCAAACATAACCTGGTTGTTTATCTTATATCTTTTTCACAGAAATTTGAAGACACGGATCTCCAATTATCTACTTCCACTCTCGCCACCAGGTGGTATGGGTTTGACGATGGGCTTAGTGGCGTGACGTATAAAGTCTGTGTTGGCAGTTCTCCTGGACAACAAGATATAGCAGCTTATGAAGATGCTGGTGGATCATTGTCACATCGATTTACAAATTTAACCCTTAACATTAACCAGGTACATATCATTTTGTGAGTCAGCAAAGCTGCATGAATATTCCTTCAACTTGAGATTGTCAGTTGATTGAGCATGTTCATATATTACTCTTGTAGATGTACTTTTCAACTGTTGTTGGGATAAACGATGCTGGTGAAACCCGACAGTCATCGGATGGTGTGACAGTTATTCGACAGGGCTTGGATCTGAACACAATGACCGTTAAAGATGGAGAGGCATGTGAGCAGGTACTCAGTTATTGCTGCACATATTTGACATGTTTAGTGTAACATTCAAAACGACTACAGCTTGATACAATCGATTTAAATGTCAATATCGAATTAATAATAGCAATAGTCCATTTATATGCGCTGTACTCCATGTATAAGCATGCTCTAAGCACTTAGACATTTATTACCTTGGGCAATTGATCGGTGTGCACTCAACATTCATTCTAAAACCCAAACTGCCTGGTTTACAACCACCTTGTCATCTCATCATTCCGGGTATCCATTCACTGCTTGGTGAACAGAGGCACTATTCGAACAAAGTCACTTGCCTAAGGAGACGCCACATGTGCTTCACTGTGGGAAAGGACCGAAGCCCTAGAAACTCTAGCTGCCGAACTCGGTCTCACATCCGAGGACTTTCCGCGACCGACGTTGCTCAACTCCACCTGAGTTGTGATATGTACGCTGTGCATAGGACCATGTACCACCACAATTATCAATGTACATGCATCTTAATGAACCCGAATGCGTTCATAAAATAACATCACTTCAAGTACATGTTGATGCAAAAGTAAAATACTTTATAACTTACAAACCCAGTCCCATTACAGGTGAAGATATTTCTTAAGGTAGTGCTTACAGTATATTTCGTTTAGGGAACTAACTCCACCTTCGGGGATGACCTGGACTACCAACTGTCTTCCTCCACATACGCTGCCCACTGGTCAACAGATGCGAGACTCCAACAGTTGTACTCGGATGTACATTTCAGCCTAGAAAAGAAACTCCTATCGTCAGGTAATATGCATAATTTGCGCATTTTCCATTTGTTTTAAGATATGGGTTCCGCATTGTCGTTTTGCATGATCTCCGATACAGTGGGTAGGGGTAGTCAAGCATGTGTTGGCTTGCTATAATAAGGCTCGATTATTGCTAAAACAGTCAAACGGTACTTTCCCACTCCCTCTTCAGATATAAATATGCCACACATAAAATAATAAGTTTCTTGTTGCATTAATAGATCAGGTTTGGGCTAAGGTCACAAAGTATGAGAACATTGGTCCAACTGAAACAGTGACTATTGGAGGACTGCACCTCGAGCCGGGCCAGACCTACAGAGCAGTTGTGAAACTTTGTGCTGCCCACGTTTGCTCTGAACCCGTCGCCAGCAATGGTGTGATAGTCACGCCCCATCAACCTGTAGTAGGAAACATCAATATCACTTACACCGAGGGCACATCAAGGGCACAGGTGTGTATTGAGCAATATCCGCAATGAAGTATTAGTATCCCCTTCCGACAGTACACAATGAATATAACGTAATAAATCTGTTTCTATGTATTGTGGTCGTAACCATCTTTCTCATGTGTAAATTGGTAGTTGCTTGTCTTTTCGCGAACACCTGGTATCATCGATCACTATTTGGTAGTGATTCATAACACATGCTTATGATATAGTCGGAATCGTGCAATCGACTCTGCTTTGGGCAGAGATTACTTGTGAATATTGAAAGGGTTTTGAGGCATTTATTCTCGTCTTTGCCTGCTCATTGCAGTTACATGTAGAAATGGATCGATTCCGTGATGGTGATATTCCGGTGATATCAGAGTCGTATGATGCGGTGGCGATGTATGACTGGAGTCTGACAGATGATGGTCATGGCAGGAGTCTGCTGACCGAGTGGACACCTGTGGACGATTTGATCCCTGGCGATGAAAAGGTACACTATACTAAATAAATACACCTGAAGGAAATATGCATATGATGCATGTTTTTAGAATGTTAATAATATATACTGAACAACAAAAGTTCCTGTGACATTGAATAAGGTTTAATTCAAAGTAATGTTTTTTACCAAATCTGAAACAATTTCGATTTGCAACAGATAAAATACTCCTGTAAGTGTTCAAATGGTTTAATTTGCCATACTAACTTCAGAAAATGCATGGTTTCATAAAAAAAAACATGAACATGTCAAAATATCATTTAGAAATCAATAGCGTGTGTGTCCACCTCATTGAATTGACCAGGCGTCCTGTAGGATATCTGTCCATATCTGCTGGAGCATGTTTCGAAGTTCTTGGAGTGTCTGTAGAACACGTGGTTGACGTCGAAGGAGCCGATCCATCTTATCCCACATGTGCTCGATTGGTGAGAGATCGGGGGAGCGAGCCGACATTCGCGTTGTTTTGTTGAAGAGAATCCTGAACAAGTCGAACAATATGAGGCCGGGCGTTGTCATGTTGAAAGGTGACAACGCAAAAACGGTAGAACAACAGGGCCGTTGATCTCGTCGCGGTAGCGCTGTCCATTGAAATTTCCCTCTACCACTATCAAACAGGTCCTCTGTCTTGCTGTAATCCCACCCCATACCATAACGCTGCCGCCCCCGAACCGATCTTCTTTCATGACACAATGATTGACGTAACGTTCACCTCGACGTCGGTACACTCGAATCCGTCCATCGCTGTGGCTGAGGTGAAAACGAGACTCGCCAGTGAATGGAACTTGTCCCCACTGCGTGGCCGTACAGCGTAGACGCTGTCTGCACCACTGTAGACCTGCTTGGCGGTGGTTTCCTGTCAAAATGGGACGTCTGGCGGGTCTTCTGGTGACATTCCCTGCACATATGAGGCGACGACGTACGGTTTGTGAAGATATTCGTCGAAGGCCAGGGATGCTTCTTGCAGTCACTGTTGCTGGCTGGAATTGATTTCATAGGTGTGTTGTTCGAATCCAGTTGTCTTGTCGATTATTGGTTACGCGTGGCCTGCCACTCCGAGTATGGTCTCTGACTGCATTCGTCTGTTGCCAACATTGCCATAAACACCAAATGGCGTTTCTGTGGACGTTAAATTGTCTTGCAACATCACGTTGACTCGATTCTGCTTCAAGCATACCAATGGCTCGCAGACGCTCAACTTCGGACAGGCGTGGCATTTCGTAATGTTGAATAATTGAGTAATTTTGTTGTTTTTCTGAGTGGTTGTTGTCAGCACGATGCTAAATAATGCATATGGAATCCCGTTAACGCACATGTTTTTATACCCATTCTTGGGTTGTGAAATGCATTGTCTTGCATAAAAGTCAATTTGTACATAGAATGCATGCTTTTCTGTAGCAGTTGCGTTTATGTGACTTGATTCCATACATGTACTACAATATTGAAAACCAAACTTAACTTGTTTGAAAAATACACTAAAATATAGGTGTCACAGGAATTTTGTTGTTGAGTATTGTATCCTAAAGTTAATACAGTTTATGATTTCTTGTGTTATTCATTTTCCAGGTTTCATTCACTATAGAACTGGCTAAACATCTGATGTTCAGTAAATGCAGACGTTTGTCAGTGAGAGGTTTCAACAAAGTGGGGACACATACGATACTATCAAAAGATATTAGAGATTGCAGTTCAAGGGAGCCGAACAATGTAATACCAGCAATCGTCATCGACGCTGCAGGTAGGAGAATGTAACAAATAGTTCACGCAGTGAATCATATAAACATTATACGAAAGTTGACAAAGAATCTCATTACATGGCTGTGTTGTGTTATACAGGACAGACGGACGATAATGGATTAACCAGTGGCATAACCCTAGAAGAAAATGACGTGTGGCAAAGGGTAGATCTTGATTATACTCCCTACAAGAATATGTTGTCTGCTGTGTGGCCAAGTTTACGTCACAGGAAGTACAAGTGGGCAGTGATCGCAGGTGACAAGATGGACAACACATCTCACTTCAAACAGGGGAGACGCATGACTAACACTGACCCATGTGCAATGGCCGATGTTGTCAAGTGTGGAGAAACAGGTGAGTTTGATAACATGCACTGACCCATGTGCAATGGCCGATGTTGTCAAGTGTGGGGAAACAGATGAGTTTGATAACATGCATTGACCCATGTGCAATGGCCGATGTTGTCAAGTGTGGAGAAACAGATGAGTTTGATAAATGGCACTGACCCATGTGCAATGGCCTATGTTGTCAAGTATGTTGTCAACAGGTGTCAAGTATGGAGAAACAGTGTGGAAACAGATGAGTTTGATGATTGCCACTCATGTCACCATTACTGCTTTTGATGAATCGATATGTGTAGTTAGAAAGTCAATAATTCATTATGCGCAAGGCATATACTGCTATGCCGCGTGAAACAACTGTGTTATGCTTCCTGTGTGAACGGCGGGTGCCTCCGGTAGGGCAGGACATGTTTACCCTTTTCGCAACACTTGTGCCATCAATGATTTTCAATGATCCAATCAAATAATTTCAAATGCTATTTTAGACATTTTTTAAATATATATTTTGAATCACGGCTTGTCAGCTTGAAGAAGACCGTAGTAATGAAGTGATGCAGGTCTGAGACATTTACCACTTTGGTGAAACCCACGAGCACGGGTATGGTGCCGACAAACCTAAAAACATAATTAAATCCACAATCACAGGTTTCTGGCACACCTGAAGATCGCTGACTCAGTGAACAGTGAATTGAGGTGCCTCAGACGCCTGCAATGTAGATCAATATGGCTGTCACTCATTGGCCATAACACATGTTCTAAATCATAGTAAACAATAAATTGAATAGACATAGTGTTCAGTGGAGTAATTACCGAAAAATTCAATTTCACATATAGACAATGATGTATAACAATTCCTCCTTGAGTTCGGTACGACAGGTGCGATGGTGAGGCAGTAAGATTCGTTGTTAACAGAATTGCACTTAGAATGTTATGGTGATGTCCATAAGCAACGATAATGTGATATCTGAAATTACCATGTTGTTATATTACAGATGAGGAGTATGTGAATGTGAAATTCGACGAAACAGAGACATTAAGACATGGGAAGAGATTCTACATCTGTATCCATGCTTTTGAAATTGATAGACAGTTTGAAAAATGGAACAAGACACTGCATGACGTAAGTGCCTGTAGTGATGGCATTACTGTGGATCTCACCCCACCAACTCCAGGAACCATAAATATTGAAGGTCTACAGGGAGGGACCTTTCAGGTATATATGTCACTGACATTGAAAACAATGTATTTGTACGTTATCAATTAAACAAGATACTCTTTATTCTGTTTCCCTTCATATTGGACAGTGCAAACATTTGAAGACAATTATTAATGTTGAAATATATTCATATGGAGACAAACGGTATGAAAATTATACAGAGGCAAAGTGTGGTAACAAATCATCACTATGTACTGTTGTACCTTTGGATACAAAATAAAAGTTCTTCTCTGATCCATATGTAAATAAGTGTGCAATGTCAAATAAAAAGCAGCAGTTTAATTAGGTAATACTGATTGTGAAGTATCTAGGGGTAAAGGAAGGATATATGAACAAAATGGATATTTCAACATTAATCCCACAATGTATATAATTCAACACTCACCAATTAAAACTGGAGCTGAATCAAATAAATTGGTTCCCTTACATTGAATACAAAAGAAAACATAGTTTGAATATAAAATAGCGTCAGCCATGCGAGAAGGGATTCTGCCAAGCATGCATGACAAACAGAGAAATTGCATCCCAGATTCATCCAACACAATGTCCGTTCTCAGACACGAGCATGTCCAGCAGAGCCATATACCCACACATGCCGCTGTTAGCTCTCTTTTGATAGACTGGTCTTCTTTAGGTGAGCCAGACTGAGGTGACTGTGTCTTGGGATAGCTTTACAGACGTTGAGGAATCGGGAAGCACATCCCACCCACGTGGCATATCACACTACGAACTTGCACTAGGTAGGTGTAATGACTCATTCTTTACATATTTTTTATTTTTGTGCTCCATGTTCAATCATTTACTTTCTTCCATCAAATTAGGTTCAATCTCTGGTGGCGAGGACATCCGATCATTCCAGGATGTGGGTCAGGTCAATCATATCATCCTTGCAGACCTCTCTTTACAAGATGGACATGCTGTTTATGCTACAGTTAGAGGTAAATGTATTTTTGATTGAAAGATTAATGTTAATGTTTGCTGACACAAAATACTACTACTACTACTACTACTACCACTACTACTACTACTACTACTACTACTATAAAAGTGTAACGCCATCAATATAGTGAAAAAGATAGCGACAAAACGTTTTCCATATTCATCAGAAATCAAAGTCGATTGTATTGTTCCGACTTTACTCTGCAAATAAAGAAACGCAAAAGTGAATAAGGACATAAATAATTAACAGATGGTAATCGATTGCTCAAAATTGGCACACATCATTGTCCTTGAGCCGGGTGTCATATGGCACATATGGAACAGTAGACTTTCAATGTGAAGGTCATCTGTTCTCAATATCTTGTATGGCCACCATTAGCGTCCAAAACTGTCCCGAATTGTGGCCCGGGGAATGTTTACCCACTCTGCCTGCAGTGCTTGTGCAAACTGTCTGAGGTTCTGTGGTCGTTGCTCTTTCCGTTTGTAGACCCATCCATCACCAACCGTTGCTGACGTTGTGTGATTTCATTCAATGAAAGTGTAGTCTTGTTCGTACTATGAGCAATCCCAAATGGTTCGTGAAGGAGGGGCAAATAATCTTCCAAATCAATCTTTGAGAGTACACTCAAGCATGATGTTTCCACTTAGATGTCAAAGAAAGACATGTTAATCTAGCTCAAACGTTGTATGATGTTTCCACTTAGATGTCAAAGAAAGACATGTTAATCTAGCTCAAACGTTGTATGATGTTTCCACTTAGATGTCAAAGAAAGACATGTGAATCTAGCTCAAACGCTGTATGATGTTTCCACTTAGATGTCAAAGAAAGACATGTGAATCTAGCTCAAACGTTGTATGATGTTTCCACTTAGATGTCAAAGAAAGACATGTGAATCTAGCTCAGACGTTGTATGATGTTTCCACTTAGATGTCAAAGAAAGACATGTGAATCTAGCTCAAACGTTGTATGATGTTTCCACTTAGATGTCAAAGAAAGACATGTGAATCTAGCTCAGACGTTGTATGATGTTTCCACTTAGATGTCAAAGAAAGACATGTGAATCTAGCTCAGACGTTGTATGATGTTTCCACTTAGATGTCAAAGAAAGACATGTGAATCTAGCTCAGACGTTGTATGATGTTTCCACTTAGATGTCAAAGAAAGACATGTGAATCTAGCTCAAACGTTGTATGATGTTTCCACTTAGATGTCAAAGAAAGACATGTGAATCTAGCTCAGACGTTGTATGATGTTTCCACTTAGATGTCAAAGAAAGACATGTGAATCTAGCTCAAACGCTGTATGATGTTTCCACTTAGATGTCAAAGAAAGACATGTGAATCTAGCTCAGACGTTGTATGATGTTTCCACTTAGATGTCAAAGAAAGACATGTGAATCTAGCTCAAACGCTGTATGATGTTTCCACTTAGATGTCAAAGAAAGACATGTGAATCTAGCTCAAACGCTGTATGATGTTTCCACTTAGATGTCAAAGAAAGACATGTGAATCTAGCTCAAACGTTGTATGATGTTTCCACTTAGATGTCAAAGAAAGACATGTGAATCTAGCTCAAACGCTGTATGATGTTTCCACTTAGATGTCAAAGAAAGACATGTGAATCTAGCTCAAACGTTGTATGATGTTTCCACTTAGATGTCAAAGAAAGACATGTGAATCTAGCTCAAACGTTCTATGATGAAGGATACAGCAAACAAGTCCGATTACAATCCAGTGATTAATATTAAGAGCAACGATCCATGACAGCGGAGTCACTGAGCCTGACAACCATCCATAAGTCAATTCTGTCCATCACAGGTTCACAGAATCATAGCCACATCTTCAGCTATGTTGAAGAACTTAGTTATTTTCACTTTTACCTAGCCAGTTTTGTTGGAAATGTAATGAAATTTGGTATTAGTTTATTTATATAGACTCACTCCGCTCTTGTTTCAGACGTTTTTTACTACCCTCTTAAATTCTGGCAAAATGCTCTTTAAACTTCTTCTTATCTGTGCTGGCCAGCCTGAGGACTCTGATGTGTATTTTGTTCAAATCTATCGAACTGAATGCTAATGCTCGCGTTTGTCTGCTGGTATACTATTAACATAATGTTGTAGACCTTATATGTAACCCTTAGTCGTCAAGTGATCAAGTCCACGGGGTTGTCAGAATATCAGTTTATTCAGCAAAGGCACAAAGAAGACACTCCTGAAACAATCTAAAATCAAATATATCACATGTTTCAGAATCAATGCACAATAACACATTAAATGTAAAGTATTGATCTCCTTCTTAATAACTAATTACATCATTACAGCAGATACACAAATATGTTTCTGCCCTGATATCTAATCAGTGCAAATGTACCTTCATATACAAAGACAATATAATTACACGTTATTAAACGGATAACTGAGGAAATCATTAAATCATATTATACATATTGAATGCACGACATGAACATATATGGATAAACTATATACAAAACATACCCTGTGTGTGACACGAGAGTGTAACATGCCTTCTGCCAGTCGTCTCATTCGACAGTCACATGACCCTAAATACAGATACAATATTAATTATAATATTGTAATCACGGCATATACATGCATCACTGAAATACAACTTCAGTCATTCATACAACTATCAATAAATACATGCATATATCCAGAGAGATATGTACAAAGTCTAGAAATACACCAGATTTACTAAATAATAGCAAATATGCATCAAATACCAAAATACCAAAATACACAAAATACCAAATAACCAGTGCATTGAAATATAAAATATATGTATAGATAAGCAATACTCATGAATCAGACCCTCATCTCATCACACTCACCTCATTCACTCAACCTATCGTTTGTTTATGTTTACAAGTTATTTAAAACCTAATTTATTACTTATGTACTTGATTTAAACTAATGATTGAAAGCATAATGTTTAGATTGATAGAGATTAATTATGATTACTAACCTTGATTACTTGATGTTCAATCCATTATGACTTGCTGTGCAGTGCAAGTGTGTGTGCAGCATAAGATTAGCAATGGCAGGTGAGAAAGGGATTTGAATTGAAAGGTATACTAATTGGCTAACAACAGGTAAACCTAATGACGCGCAAACAATAGAACAAAACACCCTTGGAAGTAAAATAGACTGGACCATTGACCTTTGACCCAGTAGAAGCTTATCAGTAGCAAATACTGATAAGGACACAAATAATGATAGAAAGGAAACCCGGAAATGACACAACCCTCTGTTGAATGAACAACCTGAAATAGAAAAGACATGATACCTTATTTACGCTAAAAATACTCACATATTTACAAGCTGCAGAAATATTACCTACTACAATAATATGATTCAAGACATGTATTTTTCGAATAGTAGTTCTCCCAAGCATGTTGTCTAAAATGGAGACTTGCAGTTAATCCCGCAAAATCTAAGATTGTTCATTTTAGGCCTACCAATACAAATTGCCCCACAACCACCTTTTCAATTGGTGAAACTCTTTTGAAGTATAGTAAGAATTATAAATATCTTGGTTTGTGGCTCAACGAACACATAGACTTTAAGTTCACAATTAATGAACTGGCTAATTCGGCAAGTCGAGTTTTTGGTGTTTTATGTACAAAATATTTTGATGCTGGTGGTTTTCCTCATGCAATTTATACTAAATTGTATGAATCCTTGGTTCAGCCTATTATGCAGTATGGTGCTCCCATGTATGTTATTATGCTTGCGAAAAGATGTATTTCTGCTTGTGATCAATATTATACTTGTAATGTTTATGTTGAGTGTCGGTGAGAGTAAATGCACTTCTATGTGTTGTGTGTGTGTGTGTGTGTGTGTGTGTGGGGGTGTGTGTGTGTGTGTGTGTGTGTGTGCGTACGTGCGTGTGTGTGAGGCGTTTAATGTACGTATGGTGTGTGTGAGTGCGTGTGTGTATGGGGGGTATAATGTACGTATGGTGTGTGCGTGCTTTTGTGTGGGTGTATAATGTACGTATGGTGTGTATGTGCGTGTGTGTGGAGGGGGGGGGGGGTATAATGTACGTATGGTGTGGGGGGTGCGGGACGTATATTGTGCGTATGGTGTGTGTGTGGGGGGTGGGGGGCGTATAATGTACGTATGGTGTGGGTGTGGGTGGGGTGGGGGCGTATAATGTACGTATGGTGTGGGTAGAGTGGGGGGCGTATAATGTACGTATGGTGTGTTTGTGGGTGGGGTTGGGGGCGTATAATGTACGTATGGTGTGTTTGTGGGTGGGGTGGGGGGCGTATAATGTGCGTATGGTGTGTTTGTGGGTGGGGTGGGGGGCGTATAATGTACGTATGGTGTGTTTGTGGGTGGGGTGGGGGGCGTATAATGTACGTATGGTGTGTTTGTGGGTGGGGTGGGGGGCGTATAATGTGCGTATGGTGTGTTTGTGGGTGGGGTGGGGGGCGTATAATGGACGTATGGTGTGTTTGTGGGTGGGGTTGGGGCGTATAATGTGCGTATGGTGTGTGTGTGAGTGGGGTGGGGGGCGTATAATGGACGTATGGTGTGTTTGTGGGTGGGGTTGGGGCGTATAATGGACGTATGGTGTGTGTGTGAGTGGGGTGGGGGGCGTATAATGTACAAATGGTGTGTGTTTGTGGGGGGGGGGGGGGGGGGGGGGGGGGTATAATGTACGTATGGTGTGTGGGTGGTTGGGATGGGGTATAATACTCGTATGGTGTGTGTGCGTGCGTGAGTTTGTGTGTGCGTGTGTTTGTGTTTGTGTTTGTGTGGTGGTGGTGGGTGTGTGGGTGTCTACGTGTTTGTGTATGACTTTATAAGTATTTTGGCGTGTGTGTGTGTGCGTGTGCGTGCGTGCGTGCGTGCGTGCTCATAACCCAATCTTAACTTTAAACATTGTGTTAGTATATGTCTTAATTTACCTTATCCAGATCATGACGTTATACATTTGCTTTTATGTCTACTGTCTCGTAGGCCATATCTGGTCGGATGTTATATTTTAATGTCTGTGTACATGTTTTAGTATGAAGTGTGTACAACACGTAGCACTATAATAAACATTATTCTCTCTATCTCTCTCCCAAATGAAGCAACTTAACATGTTGGAGGGGTTTTTACAGCCAAAGACTTTGTGAACTTCACCACCCAGGTCACATCAACTGCTTTCATCATAGACTCTTCCCCTCCTGTGAACACAGGCAGGAACATACAGATGGATGACAGATACATCACACGTCCTAGTGTATCGCTGTGGTAAGAAACAAATATTCAGGTTACAAGTATATAGAGATAACCATATTTAGCATTAATCAAAAACTCTAGCTCAGTGATCAGCGACCCGTATATATCTAGTCATACACATGTGAAAAACGTAATATTATATGACCTAATGTCCAAAAGAAACTTTTGTTTGAAGAGTTATCAAATAACAACAAACGCAGGCAGAAAATTAATATGTATATAGTTCATTAGAGTAAATATTGGGGACGCCACCTAGCGAGTGCCGGGTCAGACGTGCAACAAATGAGCTCCGTTGAAACTGGTAAAATACAAAGTTTAAATCGCAAGTATCAACATAAATCAACATATTCTAACCCTTATCATATTGCAAGCCAGTAAACAGGATGGGATGCGATTATGAACTTTATAGATCCAGAATCGGCTGTTTCCAGTCAACCTTTGTTTCGTTCATGCTGAACAGAGCGAGGAAGGCCGCCATGTTCAGGCACGTGCTGCACGTTCCGGCCGGCTCGGGGACCGGGCTACGAGGTGTGTTGTTTTTTCCGTTGCTTGTCATTCTGATAAGCAACGATGTCGCGAAAATCCAAGGACCTCCTAAAAGACACGTGACTCTTGATGGCGAGTTGAGTCGTAACGAACTTTTGAAAGAAATACGTGAAATTGGAATGGGAAAAGAATTTCAAAGAATTTCAGTTAGCTGTCTACGACAATAGGGAAAATGGAACGTGAATTATCTTCACTAGCAGACGACAGTGAACAGATACAGAAAACTGTTACAGAACTGACAGAAAGGACGGAACAACCTGCTGTTTTTCAACGTAAGTGAGACTTCTGAAGAAAATCCGTCGGATATTCAAGATAAGATTGCTGACATCATTGAAAGGACGATGAAAGTAGACGATGACGTCGGGATTGATAGTGTGAAAAGACTATCGAGTAAATCACTAGGCGCAAGACCCATTCTTGTGAAGTTCAAAGACTTTAAGTCCAAGTCTGCAGTGCTGAAATCAACAAGAAAACTTCAGGGAACTAAGATTGGGGTTGCAGAGGATTTCACGAAGAAAGTGAGAGAATCTGGGGCCAAATTGAAAGACTTCATGAAGCTCGTGAAAATGGAAGTTTCTCTGTGTTGAGATCTGATAGACTGATTGTTGACAACAAAATGTATACATGGGACGATGAATCCAACACAACTAAGCTCGTAAAAACATTCTCAAAAACACATAAAGCTAAAGAATAAAGGTGTGGCCAAGGTCCTAACAACGTAAATATTATTCCTTTCGTCAAATGTATTTCATAGAATATTGAAGGTTTAAGAAAGCATTGACAGAAATCCGACTTGATTAATTTTATCAAGAAATATGATTTGTTGAAACATGATGTGATAATGACCGTATGGACATTCAGGACTATACAGGTTTTAGTTCAATACGTGCTAAAACACACGGTGCTATTAGAAACTCTGCTGGAATCCAGGTTTACATAAAGAAATCTGTTGTAAACTTTTGTACTCTCCTTAAAATTGTCTCTTGTAATATAATTTGGTTAAAAAGTTGACATTCCAGATCATAGAAATGTTTACCATGCAACTGTTTACTATTCACCTGAAGGATCGAGAGTAAGCATGCAGACGAATCATTATTTGAAATACTAATAGCTGACTTTGCAAAGTTTAAAACGGCATGTCAGGATTGTGACATTATTGTTCGGGGCGATTTAAATGCACGGACAGGTGATGGATCGTTTTCTGACTACATTGTTGATGACGATACATTATATTTACCAACTGATGAAGATATGGGATATGTGTAAACTAACAGGTCTAAGATTATTTTTTTTTAAAAAGGTCATTTAATAGTAATTCAATTTCAACCGATTCTTGGTCATTGCATTTCAATCATTTGTTCCAAGGCACTAATTTTGCTGAATGTGAGAAACAGTTTTATACAGATGTTCAACATTTTGTAGAATCTATTAGTGAAGAGTTGATTCACTCTACTGTAGATGACAATGGGTCAGATAGTAGAATAACATTAGATGAAATATTTAAGGCTGTTAATCTATTAGTGAAGAGTTGATTCACTCTACTGTAGATGACAATGGGTTAGATAGTAGAATAACATTAGATGAAATATTTAAGGCTGGTAATGATATGCCAAATAGATAAGCCCCAGGGTTTAGTGGTGTACCCATTGAATTTTTCCCATGTGTTTTGAAATGCTGTTATCCTTGTTTAATAAAATCTTATTGACTGGTACTTATCCAGAGGAGTGGACTAATGTAAAAGGGTAATGTAAATGACCCTAGTAATTACAGACCTATTACTCTTTTAGAAATATCTGGTAAAATCTTTTATAAAATTATATCTACTAGAATCACCAATTGGGCAACTGATGGACATGTTACTATCCCTGAACAAGCTGGTTTTAGAAAGGGGTTTCAAACTGTGGATAATATATTTATACTTCAAACTATTATTGATAAATATCTAAGATAATATAAAGGTAGACTATACCGTGCCTTTATTGATTTAAAAGCAGCCTGTCATATAATGCCCTGATGTACAAACTTTGGACTGGTAATATTAAAGGTTCTGTTTTTAGATTACTTAGAAATATGTATGAACATGTTAAATCATGCGTATCTCTGAATTCTGGATTTACTAAATTCTTTGACTGTTCATTTGGAGTTAGACAGGGTTGCCAGTTGTCACCATTTTTATTTTCATTCTTTATTAATGACATTGTAGATTTTTTGCAACAAGATAAGCAATGGTGTATTAGTATAGGTACTCTACAGTTATTTATGCTGCTTTTTGCAGATGACATTGTAGTAATAGATAGTACAGTTATTGGTCTTCAAAAGAGATTAAATAAACTTTCCCAATATTGTGATAAATGGCAGCTGCAAATAACTAATGTCAAGAGTAAGGTAATTGTCTTTCACAAAGGTCGTCGATTAAAGAAATATGAAATCTTTTCTCTACACACATGTCCGCTTGAAAGTGTTTCAGTGTATAAATATTTAGGTGTACATTTTTCAAGCTCTGGTTCATGGTTTATACACAGAAAACTTTAACACTCAAGACCAACAAAGTTTTGCAGTCACTAAAAACAAACATTATTGATTTTCATAAGTGACCTTTACATGTTTTGACTCATGTATTTGATGTCAAGCTTCTACCAATCTTGTTGTATGGCAGTGAAGTCTGGGTGGTTCATCCTTCACCTGATATTGATACATTCCATGATAATTTCTGTAAACAGCTTTTACATTTAAGACGGAGTACACCTAATAATGTTGCAAGGGTAGGAGAAAGGTCGTTATTCACTTAAAGTAAACCAATATATGAAAATTATTAACTATTGGACCAGATTGATATTTCAAACTGATAATCCTATTTTGAAACATGTTTATGATTATCAAGTGTCCTTGGCGGATAAAGGTATTGAATGTTGGGCTTTTCATGTAAAACAATTATTATCATCATATGGTTTTGGTTCTGTCTGGTGTAATCAAGATGTTCCAAATGTAAATAAGTTTATTGTTTGTTTTAAGCAATGATGAAAAGATATAGATCCACAAACTTGGTTAAGTAAATTAAAAACATTTTCCAAACTTACAATTTATTCACAAATTAAACCATGCATTGTATTAGAAAGATATTTAACATCAATACCTGTTAGAGTATATCAATTTGCTCTTAGTTCTTTCCGTTGTTCTAGCCATAACCTAATGCTTGAAGAAGGTAGAAAATTTGTCCTTTCTGGATATGTCCATTTTGTGTAGTCCGTGTAATTGAAACTGAGTATCATTTCTGCATTGAATGTCAATTTTACTCAGATCTGAGCAATAGTCTTATACCTAAGTATTACCATTTACAACCTTCATTTGATAAATTTTGCACTCTTATGTCTTGCCAAAATGAACATGTTATTAATAATTAGCTAAATATATATTTTTCTTGCTTTTAAGAAACGACAACAGTTTTTAAAATGTATGCAATAATTCAATTGTTTCACTATGTATATCACTTATATTATCTGGCGCCTGCTATTGTTGTAATCCACTGTATCCATATTGCATAATGGGCCGGTGGCCTCTTAACTGAAATAAACTCACTCTCTCACTCTCTTATTAGAGTTAATATTGACCATCCGGTACAGACAATTTCATGTTTTCAATAAAAAACTTCCGGTCTGACTGAGACACAAACACACATGGGGTAAAACATTTCACATTACAACAGCTGTAAGAAAAAGCTTAAAGAGTAGTAAAAGCGTGTCTTATGTTTAATTGATAACGTGTGTGTCCACCTTCGGCATTAATACACGCCATAACACGTCGACGCATTGATGACGTCAGAAATCAGATGAAGTGAGGCGGGATTCTCTGCTATTTGTCAATGAGACATTGTTCCAACTCCTGAACGGTGGTTGGTATTAGGATTTGTTTTCTCCAATGTCGGCCAAGGTGGTCCCATATGTGTTCCTTCGGAATCATCATCTCTGGTAAACATGCAGGCCAGGGTAAGACATGAGTGTTGACGTTATTCAGGAAGTTGGTTGTTAGCCTTTCAGTATGCAGCGTAGCATTATCATGTTAAAAAAGCAGACAACGTGGTTCTGGTTGAATAAATGGCTGCACTACTGGTTGCACTTCGTCCCTCTATCGCTGAGCAGTCAGGTATTCCCGAAGAACAACCAGCCTCGTTGTCATATCGCCGCAGATGCCAGCCCAGATCACAGCGCTACCGCCTTCATATGCCCGAATTTGAAATGTTCACTCTGTCGTCTGTATACACGAACCCTACAATCATTTCGAATTCTGTACAGACAAAATCTGCACTTGCCAACGTCGAACTCGGCGGGCCCATATCAACCTGTTATGTTGATGTTGATGCGTTAACATTACGCCGTGGTACGGTCGACGAGCTCGAATACCGTATGTCCTTGACCCGTGAAGAACCCATGCTTGCCGTAAAAGGCGACTATTCTTGTCGTAAAAGGCGACTAACGGGATCGGGTGGTAAGGCTCGCAGACTTGGGTGATGCATGTCATCGATCCCAATTGCGTGGATCGATGCTCATGATGTCAATCACTGGATTGTCTAGTCCAGACTCGATTATTTACAGACCGCCGTCATATAGCTGGCATATTGCTGAGTGTTGCGTTAAACAACAAACAAACAAACAAAACCATATGTCCTTAATCGTTGGTAAACAGTCTGTCGACTGACCTGGTGTCCTAGTGCCGTTGCTGCCGTTGACGTCGTTGGGGTGAACCGGTTTCTTAAATACGTTGCCCGGATGTGACGGTCTTCATCGGGCGTAGTCACAGGTGGTCGACCGCTTCAGGGCCTGACCCATGTCCGACCAGTCTGTCGTAAACGTTGCGTGAAATTGCTGCCTGCAACACGGGAACAGCGGAGTCTTCTGGCAATGTCGGTGCTGGAGGGACCTTGTTGAGACATTCCGATGGCCCTCTCTCTCTCTATCCATGATAAAGGGGGCATAATTTTGTGTGCTTTTTGGAACTGTGTTCGCTAAGCCGTTTTATACAGACAGTTTTTACGTGCATTTCGTGTTACATCACCAAACCTCATGTCTGGCAAATTCATATTTATTCCCCAATTTAAGAATAGAAATCGCCTTTATCCACCGAATACGTTTGGATTGGGAGTAGGGTCATGTTTAGGAACATATCATGAAACATTTTTATTTTATTAAAAAAATATAAAACATATTCGAGCATAAAGTTTCTTTTGGACATAAGTATATTAAGCCATATTAATATACTTGACGTTATATGCGTAATTAGTACATGAACAAAACGTAATATGTCTACTCATCTTTATTCGTGTATCAATAAGTATACTTACCATACATGGTATATCATGTTGCAGCTGGGAGGGTGTCTTCATTGACCCTCACAGCGGCATCGGACTGTATGAACTGTCACTCGGGTCGAGGCCTGGACGAGGGGATCATATTCAGCAGCTGATATCGGAAGGAACCTGTCACATCTTTGATCTTTCATCAAAATTAAATGACGGCTACTCCATTTATCTAACAATTAAAGTAAACATTCCAATTAACCTAGAGCATGCAAATATGATTCACATCAATACAACATCCTTTACTTTACAGTGTATGTGCACACTATTTTTATTATTTCCTCGTAACGTGTAGTACCAAATATTGTGTATTCATAACTTTATTGATGGAACTGTACTCTTTTCATTATTTGTCACGAGACATGAGTATACTGTCTTGTTGACAAAGAAATATATGAATGGATCACATAAAATCAGGGATGACACTTTGTGTTTAGGGGGGTGATGTCGCAGGTGACCGGGTCGTCTGAGGCACCGCAATTCGCTCAGAAGAGCAGTGTTGTGTGCCAGGCCAGAAGCCTCAACAATGTTTCTAACTCAACTTACAAAGCCATCTTACTCATATATATATATATATATATATATATATATATATATATATATATATATATATCACGTTCCTCTGAAGCAACCCTTTATTCTCTAGTGTTACATTTCCAACTAAGTTGTATAAGTGAACTCCCATGCTTTTAATAACATCATATCATTGCCTGTAATATCACATTGAATAAGAAAATATCCCTAACAGGCCTTCAATGGAGTTGGACTTTCCACCGTGGCTATATCTCGCGCTATGCTTGTGGACACAACTCCCCCGACTTTAGGCCTCGTGTTTGATGGAACACGCCCACTTGCAGCACCGGTGAGGATGGACCGTGATTATGTGACACGTATAGGGGACATGGGGGCGCACTGGGAAGGCTTCTGCGACCCGCATTCAAGTATAGCTCACTACCGTATCAAGGTCGGAACCTGTTCAAGCTGTGAGGACACAATGGCAGAATATGAAGCGGGAACAAGAGAAGGTGTGGAATGAACTGTTGCTGCACTGTATAACAAAGTTTCAAATTTATTTATGAATGTTTGTTGAAACAGGTGCAGCAATGTTATACATTAATACAATTCCAGATGCAGAGTTCCATCTGCAACATCTCGCCGGGTTTGCAGAGGGTATCAAGTATCACGTGACAGTGACAGCATGCAACAAGGCGGGACTGTGCAGCAGTGCAACATCTGATGGTGTCATCCTGGATCAAAGTCCTCCTGTCCCTGGCAGCGTCATGGACGGCACACTCGACCGAGACTCCCAGTACCAGGCATCCAGGTAACATCTTTACTTAACATTATCAGGTACGCGAGCACAACTATAATTTCAAATAAGTAAAATTATATCAATGTTTTATTCAGTTGCCTGGCATCCACCTCTATAGTTTATGACTATACATAACATCGTTAGTCATCATCAAAAGAATGACACTGTATGATAATGAGGTTAACTCGCTTGTTTGTTTTTGGGTGGTAAATATCATGTATGAAGAATATAGCGTGGTAACCTCTTCATCATCTTGTGGTCGACTGGGGATTATTGTTTGTAAAGAGATATATTTAGGAACTTAGTGAGTTGGTTAGTTTAAGGGGAGTTGAACGTCTGACGTAGTACCTATCTTTGTAGTCCTGTTTGTAGCAGCTTATGCCCACGCGGGAGTTGTGGCTGCGAAGGCGTGACGATGCCACGCTCATTGCATGCTCGGCTAGGCGGAAGCCATGATTGGGAGAGCCGAGATCTAAGGAGCGTGTTCATTGGTTGTGTCCGTTTACCTGGTCACATGGCCCGCATGTTGGCTTTATAAGCCTACTCTGTGAACGGAGCTGTCATCGTCACTCACCAGAATCTGGTAAGGTACAGTCGGCTCCCGCGACCTGAATCAGGACCATTTATTATTATTTTATACCGTATGACTTTCGTTGGGATGTCAGATTAGGAGGTTTGGGTGGGGAAAAAAGACTAGAAATGAAATAGGTTTGTTTTGGAGACGTTTTACTTTCGTTGGAGGGGAGGTTAAACGAACAAGTTTGAGGAAGAAGGTTGAATTGATTTATGTGGGTAGGGAAGGGGGGAAATTACGTAGGTTATAGTTAAGTGGGGAATGATTTCCCCCCCTGTTGTTGTTTTTTGCTAAAAAAACTTTAACTCAAACTTCACTCTTTGTGCTTTATCTATAATGAGAATTCGTAACCCTGTCAGGTGCCTCCTAGTGCATAAAGACAAAAGAATACTGCACAGGGAGAAGAGAACAGAACGCAAAGCACCGCAGTACAACATCAGACCTTTTGTCAACTATTTTTATAGTTCTACTGTCACTGGGCGCCTTTTACGGGTTTTTGAGGGCGCCTATTACAATCTGATGTTATTTTGGAATTCTCTCACTCACAGAACCTAAACATTGCAAGTTTCCTGTAATGCGTGCATTATTATTAATTACGTCAATCGCAAGCTCAGGCAGTGACAAATAGTGATGTAGTTCCAACTGAAACTTGTCTTTTAGACAAGTGGCACCAAATTACATCGGTATGATCAGTAGTCTCATATTTTTCCTGGTCTAGAATAAATTATTTACAGGCCGCCGTGATCTATCTGGATGTACTGTTTATTGCATTGTTATCATGCACTAGAACGTTCCTGGGCTGCAAATGGCACGGGTTCCAGGACGCACAATCTGGTCTGGACTTCTATGAATGGCGGCTTGGGACAACACCTGGAGGTGATGACATTCTCACACCCCGATATGCTGCCCTAGAAGAGGTTGCTTTCCTCACATTAACAAATACAACAACGATGCCAACTGGTCGTGAGATGTTTTGTACAGTGAGGGTCTACGATAAAGCAGGTATGGAGAAATTCAGCAACAGCTTAGCAATGTAATTATGTGTATGTATGTCAATGATGGGTGGGGAATGAAACCACACAATGTCTATTCCATTACATGTATTTAAAAAAAAGATTTGTTCATATTCTTACAACTATATCGATTATTATTATTTGTAAATGACTTCAAACACATCACCGGCTAGCGTACCATGTCCAAAAATATAAATATTGTATTATATCACACTATTGTTTGTAATGACATAACAACGACATACATAAGACATGTATTAGTCGACATTACCTTAGATACGCTTAGATAGTTTTTCCACTTACAAACCTTTTGGAAATGTTTATGAAACTTCATACAACCAAACAAATATCTGTAATGGATGATATGGAGAAACTGCTTGAAATGTTTTCTGTAAGAGGCCAAGTAAACAATCCCATTTCAATGCCACTTCGTAGGAATTCAGAGAAAAACATTCTTGAACATTTTGATGAGATGTCACTGTGACAGCCAACACAATACAAGTGAATATGACAGATGGCGAACCATAGGCATGCTTCAATCCAATACCTCGCAACATGACGACATATGTCAATTATACGTTCACAGGAACAACACCATCCAAGGCAGTACTTTTCTTCACCAATTCGCATTGTGTTTTGTGAGGTAACAATATCTTTGTCTTTGACAAAATATATTCAGCATATTTTTTATTGATAATGAAGCATGCTTCATATTTAATTTCCTATGCCAGGATTATTCTCAGAGTCTACATCGAATGGCTTCATAATTGATGACAGCGCGCCTGAGGTGGTGAAGATCCCAGGCATTGAGGGGGGACAGGGATCCTTGGTTGCCATGACGCTGATAAGTCGGTCTACTGTGAGGGTCAGCTGGGAGGTGAAGGACGAGGAGTCTTTCATAGAGAGACAGTACATCTCCATCTCCTCTCATCAGTTCGGGGAGTTTGATGCCTCCCTTAAGGCGGTGAGAGTCATGCTTATATACAAGTGTGTGTATTAAATAACACTTATTCACTCAGAGCATTGCTTGTATCATGTGGTCACCTAATATTTTCTTTTATCATATAATGGGTGGGTTTCTCGGCAGGATAAAGCCAATGGATAAAAACGATATTCGTTGGGGTCATATGCGGATAGAGATGCAAATATCAAAGGTCAAGTAGGGACTACTTTCACTGTTTATAAACAAACGTGGCGTCGCCCTCGTCATTCGGCGATCGAGTCAGAATTAACCATCGGGAATCTGGATAAACTACAGGGATAATTGCTATCATTATCAAAAGAACAATCTAATATACTGAAAATCAGTGTCTAACTGTGACGTAGCTAAGGCATTTTATAAGTTTTGGCAACTTTGGAGATATAAATTTCAAAACAATTTTGCGAGGGCACGAGGCCTAGCCAAGCGGAATCAGTAGCCATGACTGTGCTTGTAGACCTCTGCGGCTTGAAACCTTCCCAACAAATTAATATAGTTGGATTTGGCCGAAACATGTTTGAATTGTTACCTTGTTTCGTTATGTCGCTGTGTGTACATCTGACTACACTTCTTAACGTTATGACAGGACAGAACGACTGTCAACAACGTCTGACCGTGGCCGTGACGTCTCATAGACTAGGGTTAGAGTAGCTTCCCTTTGACAAAGGGCAGTTACTCTAGCGGACAGACCGATGGATTGCCGCGAAAGGCAATTAAATACAGTTTTTGTTTTGCGTATATGTTGCTTCGCGGCTGTATAAGAAACAGATTTCAGTTGGAACTATATTGGCTAATGTCACTGTCCGACTGACACATCACTTACCCTGTGACGTAATAAATATTACTGCGCGCATTCCAGGAAACTCACAATGTTTCGGTAATGTTTGTGAGAGAGGGAAAGCGATTTTGAAGCACAAGGCTCGCTAAATACAATGTTTATTCCTAATGCAGGATATTTACCATCCCAAAACACACTCGCGTGATAACCTCTATATATCTATCGTATCTACACTATGTATATATATATGCAACACTCTAGTGGTATAAATGTCATCGTGTGTATTTAACAAACAATCTTTCAATGATATTTTAGCTCCCTGGGTTGCTGAGGGAGTTTACCTATTCCCAAATTAACCTCCACGATGGTAGTCGATATCGGATCAAGGTATCTTCTTGCAATATGGCAGGCCTCTGTTCTACCTCTGACACTGGAGAAATCCTGCTGGATGGGTCAATACCTACAACAGGTACAAGCATATGACTCGTATACAGAATCAATCTCTGGATCATGTGACTGGTGATAAATTGCGTCATTGCAGCATAAGTAAAGTGTGTCATTTCTCAGAGAACTGAAAGCAGACATGTGACTGTGAAAGAGATTAAACTGTAGAAACCTAAAAAGTGTTTAATTATGTGTCTCTTTGCCTCCAGAATATACGTCTTCAATTTTTTTTAATGAAACTGATTATTGACATTGAAGACACAATATCTGTCTATTTCAGTCCTCGTCTCAGCATTCATAACAGTTGATAAAAAAGTTACAAATTTTGTGTGTTTTGACAGGTGCCCTGGCGGTGGAGACGAACCACGCCGCACGACTAACAAGACACCACTCCAATTATATGACGTGGACACCAACAAGTCTTTGTCTCGCCTGGCTAGGTTTTGCAGATCTTCATTCTGGTATAGATCATTACAGAGTCACAGTCGGATCTAAACCTTTTACAGCTGACTTCTTATTGGTGGGTTTACCTTTACACGAAGACAAATTCCTACAGTTATATATATTATACTGTTGTCAATGTACATGAATGTCATCAGCATGATGTAGCCGTGTTCGTTTCTATGTCAGACCAAGAACCCCCTGACCTTCAGTCACAACACTACCGGCCCCGATAAGGAGGACGAGGGCGTGGTCCAGTTAATCACTGCTGATACCAAAGATATGTCATCAAGAACGTCTGTATTTGTGACAATATGGGCAGTCAACAGTGTAAGTAGCCGCTCTATCTACGTTTACATTGATTGATATGACAGTTCAAATTTATGAGCTCAATCAAAAAGATCAGGTTTCTAGCTGTGTCCTCTAGCATTAATTTTGATGTCCAGGTTGGTCTGAGGAGCAGTCCCCTCCACTCTGAGCTGGTTCTGGGCGGGGGAGGGAAGCTGGAGTTGGTGAGACGATGCGGCTCATACAGCTGTGAGGGACACTGTGTCTGTGCTGTACAAGACAAGAAGTGTGGCACCAGTCAAGGGTGTACAGTGTTGAAGAATGGTATATTATCATCAGACGACAAATACATGTCTTTGCTTGAAGGATGACAAACTTGCACTGTGTTTGGCAATATTGTATCCTATTGTTTTATGTATATACCAACCTGTGGTATCAGTCTACCATTTTTAGTATGGATCAGATGTATAATGTTATCATCTGAGAAATATCTGCAGGTAATAATTGTGGCACCTGTAAAGTATACATGTACCAATGGTATAATACCGGCAGTGCACTGAAATTGTGCATTTCTGGAAGCTACTGCACTGTGAATGTCCCTCTAATCTAACGATGTAATAATTACATATTGTTCAGGTTGAGATATAGGTAATCGCACCCGAGTGTCTTTGGATATCAAATATCTCAAATCTCGTGGATAAAGGTTTAACAGAGTTGGAAACTCTTATCTATTTGTTTTGATATATTTGATATCAAAAGACAATCGGATGAGATTCAATTCATCATCCAAAATAAATCTGCCAACTTTTCCAAGTTGTAATAAATAGTGTCTTCCTAAAATTGATAACACAAATGTAAAATTTGATGGTAAGACATTTAGGTAAGAAGTTTCACTTCAGCTTCAGGTCTGTCGATGAAATGATATCGTTCAATAATGGTCAAAGAGCCAACTACTTTTCACTAATTAACCCACCTGAACAAGAAAGACCAATATGACTGTCTCGCCTGTTTCCTATTTACATCTTTGCATCCAATGTTCCTACATGCAGGTGGCAAACACGCGGTTGTAACGCTGAGGGATATCCTGGATCTGAGGAATGTGGACGGTGTTGGAATCACTGATGATGACAATAAAGACTGCGATTTCTCTACATCTGACACCTTCCTTTCTGCTACGTGGGCGGTGACAACCAACCAAGGCCTCCTTCCTGTAAGGTGAGAATCAACCAAGGACTCCTTCCTGTAAGGTGAGAATCAACCAAGGCCTCCTTCCTGTAAGGTGAGAATCAACCAAGGACTCCTTCCTGTAAGGTGAGAATCAACCAAGGCCTCCTTCCTGTAAGGTGAGAATCAACCAAGGACTCCTTCCTGTAAGGTGAGAATCAACCAAGGCCTCCTTCCTGTAAGGTGAGAATCAACCAAGGCCTCCTTCCTGTAAGGTGAGAATCAACCAAGGCCTCCTTCCTGTAAGGTGAGAATCAACCAAGGCCTCCTTCCTGTAAGGTGAGAATCAACCAAGGCCTCCTTCCTGTAAGGTGAGAATCAACCAAGGCCTCCTTCCTGTAAGGTGAGAATCAACCAAGGACTCCTTCCTGTAAGGTGAGAATCAACGAAGACCAAAGTAACAAACTAGGAGCTCAGGGTTATCATTCGATGTCACGTGTTATGTTTTTACCCACAGGTACGATTACAGTGTGGGCAGGAGTAATCAGGACTCTCCCAAAGGAGTATTCAACGGAGCCAGCGAGAGAGTTTGGTTTGATGCTGGAGTCACACAGTTTGCAGTCGTGCCACTCACAAACGGTACAGTGGTACTTTTACAATGTCGTTCAATTCCAGAATTCTTCACTCTCTCACTATTTCGAACAAATGATGTCATGAGCAGATGGTACATGTTACGGTTCGACGTAACGAGTTTGTACATACATATGATTCGGTTTTGTACTGTTTGTACTTATTCAGTACACAATGTTACACTCACTTTTAGCGTAAAGGGAACAGTGGAGTGAGTGAGTTGGGTTTTACAACGCTTTTAACATTATTCCAGTTATATCACGGCATGTCAGCTTAATTTTGGAGGAAAGCCCGAAGTGATGCGGGTCTCAGAAGTTTACCACTTCGGTGAAACCCACGAGCACTGGTATGGTGCTGATAAACCTAGAAAAATAATCGGGGCGAACCGGGATTCGAACCCACAATCATAGGTTTCGTGCGTGCACAAGGGACGCAACTCTGCACAGCGAATCGCGGCTCCTCAGACAGCTGGGTCGGGCCACCCATGCCCCCGAACAACAGTGGAATAATTCACAACCAGACCACTGTCAATACCCACCAAATTCATAGTTTGGAATATACCACGTTCATTTATCATCAAGTAAGATTTGTCTATTCCAGACTCTCTTTTACGCCACTGACATTGTGAATTAATGGGACAAAGAACCATTCTAACATGTCGTTGATGCTCTCTGATCCGAAACAGCCAGTAAGCTAATAGGCTAACATTAGATGATTTGTTTCAAAAGTGTGTGAGCGTACTAAGTTTGCAAACACCGTTTATTACAGGAAAATGATTATCGTACAATTCAAATTTATATGTCCTTATCTATTTCTTTGGTAGGCATTAACAAGTTGGAGTACTAAGTAATGATAAGATTTATGGATGAACAACTTCTTTATTACAGTTAAGAGCGACGTTTCGGTGTAGGTAAGCAAGTGATCAATCTCATTAAAATCAAATCTTAGTTGTCGCTGTTGCTAAACAAAGATCTGAGGACATCCTATTACGGGTCACGTCAGAACGACCTTCCGTATGTAATAGCCTTGTACTCTGTACTAACCATTCCACCTGAGCGTGGATCACAGGGGCTTACAGCAGCTATGTGTCAAGCATGATGTCTATACATGTAATAACAATAAAGTGCGTATGGGGGACCATAAGAAACACGTCCTGTCTGTACCTGGAATATATACAACGCAGGTAATCTTTATTCATGTATGACTGAGGACTGTGGAGTGTTTCTAATTCATTGTTATATGATGTCATCTGAAGTCTGTCAAGGGGTCATATCGCACGATTAACAGAAGTATCACTGTGCTTTTGAAGAGAGTTGTTGTCATATTGACTGAACATACCTAAATCCCAGGCAAAGTTTACAGGTTAAAGAATGTGTGGTGTCTACTCAATACGAGTTGGCGCAAAGACAATATTGAAATATAACTTTGATAGAATGTGACTATCGGCGTTTTGTGGCTATAGAAGGTTAACTCATTACGTTCGGTAAACACAACCGATATTAAATGTTCAGTTAAAAACTATTTATTCAAAGGCATTTAGACGTAAGTGATGGTCAAGCTCTAGTTAAATGCTCTGACAATGACATTCAAAGTTTCAATCTTCATCGATGCAGTAGTAGCACAGATTTGTGATGAGCCTCAGAAATGAGAAACTACACTGGATATCATTGACAATACGACATTCAACATTTGAATTCTAAAATCACCACTTTAGAGAAAGTCATCCACTGCTCCCACCATGATCGTTTTACAATTATTCTGGAAAATACAGATTTCTGGTGTCATCAAATAAGTTTTACTGTAATTGGTACAGGGAAGGTATTGACATCAGGACTCAGCTACAGCGTCTTTGTCCGGGCTTGGTACGATGACAACACGTACAGCATCTTCAAGTCAGATGGCGTTCTCGTTGACAATAACGGGCCTACCACGACAGACAAGATTGGAAATGCGGTAATATTTATTTTAAAAATGTGGGTCTCATAAAACATAAGACAATGTTAATTTCAATTGAGGTGAGGTGACGTGGGGTTTAACGTTGCGTCCAAAAGTATTGCACTTATATAGCACGTGTGTGTGTGTGTGTGTGTGTGTGTGTGTGTGTGTATGTGCGTGTGCGTGTGTGTGTGTGTGCGTGCGTGCGTGCGTGCGTGCGTGCGTGCGTGCGTGCGTGCGTGCGTGTGTGTGTGTGTGTGTGTGTGTGCTTGAACTTGTCCGGACTGATACCAATTTTATAGTGCTAGCTCACTGTGATACCATACTGCAGTTGAACATGAATCCACTCAGACACAGTATACTGACTCCAGGCAACCCCTTAATATCGAGCGCCAGCCAGGGTAACTACAAGTTCCATGTTTTAACGTCTTTTGATATGACGCGACCGGGGATAGAACCCCGGACCTTTCACTCTCAACTTCAATTCAGACAATATATAGACAATATACAGTCAACTTCAATTCAGACAATATATAGACAATATACAGTCAACTTCAATTCAGACAATATATAGCCAATATACAGTTAACTTCAATTCAGCTCACAGTGTCTATCAAATTATTGTTATTGTTAATATGGCATATCTAGAATATTTTCCGCAGGTAAAAGAGCACAGGGAAATAAAAGACAGTAAAGACATAGACTATCAGTCCTCCAACACCAGCATCTGCATCAGCTGGGCCAACAAGTTCCTCCAGGGGCAGAGTGGACACCTCAAATACAGGCTCTTTATTAGCACATCTCCAGGAGGTAAATATCTCGCAATTACTTTGATGCATACCCGTTAGTTATAAAGGGGAGTCTCCAATGTTCCCTTTAGACATTCGATATCTGACATTCAGTGTGTGTTGTTGACATTTGTAGAATGCACAAACTGAAACAAAGGAGACAGGAATAAACCTTTTCTGTCCCAGCCAGCTGTCATCGTTGTTCCCACTGACAAGGCATCAAATAATCATTATATGTAAGTGAGTGAGTGAGTTTGGTTTTACACCGTTTTTAGCAATATTCCAACAATACCACAGTTGGAGATGGGCTTCACACGTTGTAACAATGTCAGCAATCGAACTGGCGTCCTCTGCGTGATGAGTGAACGTTTTAACCATAAGGCTACCCGACCGGCTCTTATATGTATAAAGCATCACTACATTAATTGTTTGATCAAAGATCATGGTATAAGTAACCTATAAAAAAATGTTACACATAAGGCCAGTGTGTGTTTACTGAGGAAGAAATTTGCCATGCATCAATACCATTCCAAACCATGCATCAATACTATCAACTTTTGATTTTACTCTAAAACATCCAGACATGTCTATTTTGTCATTGGATTCCAAACATTGATAAAAAATCGCACAAAGAGATATATAGTGCTGGGTCTAGCAAATGGGCAAAAAACAGTGTACTCTTGAAAACTGGATTAGATCAAAACATTACTAGGCTTTAATATTTCGCCGAAACACTGCAAACTTAAGGTCCAAAACAACTACAACTACAGCCTCGTCTATGCGCATATGATTGTACCACAGTGCCACAGTGTGGGTGTTTAATGTGCTTGGTAGCAGCAGTGTACATCACTCATACAAAACTATCATTTTTTCCTGTTTTAAACAACTTAACAAGACAAAACTCAGCACAGTGATGGATAAGGGAACAGGGAAATCCAAATTATAAATCAGAAGTTTGATGTATCTTATGCAAAGTCAAAGTCTTCTTCATCAAATGCTGTTCCAATGTGTCTGATGAAAGTCAAATATGAGAGAATGGCACTACCTCTGTTAGACGTCATTTACACATCTCTGGCCCATTCGCTGCAATATGACTGGTATACTGTTAAAAGCGGCGTTAAACCAAACTCACCCACCCTATGGCCCAGGAGAACGGGCCAAATGCTCTCAAGCAAGAAGTAGGCACTCCATTGTTCATAGAGTGCCTGTCTCAATCCAAACGACTTCAAGAATCACAGACCCGTCTCAAATCTGTCATTCATCGCCAAATCTCTTGAAAGGATAGCAGAACACTTCAGGAATAACGACCGATTAGAACCCTTCCAATCTGCCTGTAACCGCAAACACGGGATGGAAACAGCTCTTGTTTATAATGAAGTCTATGGATCATCCACAAATTATGCTAGATCATTACAAGATGTCTTGCAGCATTCGACACTATAGATTAATCAATCTTACATCAGCGCTTTGAAACAGGAGTCTTGTAGCAGAGCATCTGCAGAGCAGATGGTCGTGGGTTTGATCACCGGCCGCGTCATACCAAGAGACGATGGCACCTTTTGTTTTCCTGCCCCGGCATTTAGGGGCTAAAACAAGCAGGGCTCAAAGTCAGTATAGTATGGCTGATTAGGGTATTCATGTTAAACTGCCGCATGGTATCTCAGTTGGCTAGCACTATAAAATTGGCATTCGGCCAAACTAGTACAAGCAGCAACCCCCCTCCGACAGACAGACAGACACACAGACACACAGACAGACAGACAGGGGCATTTTCAATTTTTCAATTACTACTTCTCTCCAGATTGTTTCTTTCAAATTCTTTCAAATTCATAACATAAGCAAAAATCCTTACCTTCTGGATTTGGGACCATCAAGCTTCTTAAGCAACAACTTTTGTGATATCAAGGCTTGACTGTTGCAACTCCCTGTTCGTGAACATTTCATCATCCGAAACGGCGAAACTGCAAAGCATCCAAAATGCAGCAGATGGGGTTATCACTCGTACTCGATGCAAGTACCACATTTCACCTGTCCTCAATACTCTCCACCGGCTGCCTGACAAACAACGGATCCAATTTAGAAATCTACGATGACAATACATGATCAGTCAACATTACCCGAGTCATTATCTCCATTCCAGCACCTATTTACAGAACCATAAACCAAAACATCAATCAGGAGCAGCCCCTGATCTCGGAAATAATCTACCTTGATCAATAAGGACACCATCTTGTAATTCCCAGTATACTACTGAAACACATCTGTTCCACAAAGCATTTGACACTGTTTCATGACTTTCATGTGTGTATTGTATATGTACAGCGCTACTGAGCACCTTTTGATGGATGAACATCTGGGTCTTCAGCAACAAACCAAACCAAATCTTTTGATGGATCTTAGGCGTTACATAAATTCATTGTTATTATTATCATTATTATTATTATTATTATTTTTATTTTTATTGAACAGATTAAAATAAATAAATGCAGCAAAGAGGGTTTGGTTGATAGGGGCAGAGTCAGGCAAGTTAGGCTCATCATCAGCTCAGGGCCTTTGTCCCCTCTACACGCAGCCCAGACAGTGAATGGGACTTTCACCAGTAAGTGCTGCCTAGTCTAACTCATCAAAACTTTTAGGAGAATGTGAAGACTCCCTAACACTACAGCCTTCTGCCCAGATTGTCAGCAGGGCTGTATTCCTGGTAACAAACCCGGGTACTCTCCCAATGTCAGTCAACAGTTTGGGAGGTACCAAACCTAAGGCACTGAGAACAATGGGGAGTTGGACAACTTGGTACTTGGGAAGCAAGCGTGACATTTCGAAAGTGAGGTCCTCATATTTGCCATGTTTTTCCTCAATCTTGTCAATCACATTAGTGTCAAAAGGGGCAGTGAATTCTTTGATATAAATGAGTGAGTGTGACAGAAGTTAACTGGTATATCACAGATTCGATTCAAACCCTGTAGAGAACATCTGAAACAATAATTTATCAGTAAACAGCTCAATATAAAACAATGATATTAATGATTTCGTTGGATTTATCGAAAAGGACAAGATCAGGTTTGTTGGTCTGGATACGTCTAAAGCAGTAGTGTAGGTAATAGGGGTTCTGGCTCACTTCCACTGGAGCCAGATTTATATACCTATACTGCTACAACAGATGGATTTTTTTATGCGAAAATGATGATGCGATTCAACGATAGTCATGAAATTGGCTCTAGCTCACCAATACCTGGGGCCAATCATTGCTTTAGATGATAAGAAACAATTGATAACCGTATTTGGTTGGTTTGACATCACTGATATAATAAAAACCTTGTGGTAATTCTTTCCATTTAATAGCTTTCTCCATTATTATATATATTTATGTAAGCATTTGTCTAAATGTGATCAAACGATAGTAAGCAATCTATTTTTAATCTCCAACCAGTTCTTTGGTTTTGGCACGGAATAATTGACGCGCTTGTTGCCTCCCCTGTTCTATGAACTTTTTTTCTCGTCTTCGCTAATACCACTGGTCTTACGAGATTTTGATCGAATCTCCTGCTTCATTTCATTGTATTTGGTGAGTTCCGACAGCACTAAACGAAACTCATCCTCGGATATCTTACAATCGGCCATTGCTGTCGAAATATGATCCTCAATGCTGTTCAACTTTGCTTCGGCGAGTATCCGAATACTATCGTGTTTTAATGCTTTCTTTTGCAACCTACGAGAAATGAATTTTATCGCTATTCCTGCCAGTCCCGAGACTCCAGCTGTTATTTCCATGCCGAACACAATAGGCGCGGCGATTATAGTTGATAGTAAACCGATACCCGCTACACCGAGTCCCATGCCAGATACTAAAAGCGCAGTGTCAACTCCGTCCAGAGCATTCACGGCTCTGCGATACTTTTTATACAATCCAAGTCTCAACTCCCTATCCTTCTCTATTCGATGTTTTATGTCGTTTATTTGATGTAATCGAAATCCATCAACAGTTTCCATCTTTTCAAATGCTTCACCGAGCGCCGGATATAAACTCATAGTGTATATTATGATCATATAATAGTCTTTAATTGGTCTTGCTTAAATGTTTTGAGACTATACATCAATCTTATCAAATGTATATTATACGGCAATAATATCTTAGAAAGAGAAATGCTGTCACTTTTAATAATTTGAACCCCCTCGAGGGTTGCAACAGGCGATGCTCCGATATGAATAATACTGCAACGTTGACGCTCGTGTTTCTTGAGCCATTTAATCGATAGACCTCGTAATATTTCGAAGGCATCTACCGGTGCATCTCCGAAAGAGACTTCAATAATAAGCGTAGAAAGATTAGGTATTGCACTCAGGTTAACTTTAATATCTTCGAATTCAGTAACCAAATTTAAAGTAACATTTTTTAAGGCCGGACGACTATATAACATATGACCTGAGTTTTCTGGCAGGGGGGTAACTAACACACTTTTTCGTTTTGATGGGATATAAGCCGCGAGTACGATGCCACTATTTATTATCTTAGTTAAATTATGTCCCTTACCCATCATCACATAAGGTGGGGTAATGACGATATTCAGTAGCCACTCGATGTTTGCTTCGATCATAGTCCATTTATTATCGTCGTTGTGAGTAATATTGTACGAAGTGTTTTTAATGAGTCTACTAACGTCGACATCGCTTAAATCTTCTAGATTACCCGTGAATGTGACTTCTTTCCGCTTGTATACATTATCGTGTAAGTGTAAAGCGTATAACTTACCATTGGTACCGGGTTTACCGAATCCTTCTGTGTCTCCGAGATCGGAAAGCGCAATTGTATTACATTGTCTGAGCGTTCCAGGGCCTGATGAATCAACCATTATTTATGATATGGAGTGTTACACTTAAGTATCCTATATGTACAGGTTGGTGTTTTACATCTAATACAGAAATTTTGAGGTCTGAAATAATACCCCGCTTCAAATTTTTATATTGTAATGATGAGAAAGATTCCGTTCTACCGCTATTGTATTTTTCATTTTTTACTGGAAT